AGTGTCAGTAGTTAACGAGTAATTTGCAAAAAACTGTTTTTTAGTTTTTCGTCAATAACTCGTTAAATATTAATGCTAGCAAAGAATTTTTACATGGAAATTGTAGATCTCGTCGTCCTCTACAAGAAAGGTCATATGCAATTTTCCCGTAGATTCAACGGTTTAGGAGTAATTAAGGAAAAACGAAATTTTTTGCCAAAAGTTCGCCGTTTCGACGCTGGGATGGTCAGATTTTGTCAACATCAATAAAATGCCATATAATCATACGTAACTCGTTAAATATCGAAATTAGAACGAAAACAACTTGTATTTCAAGCATTTCTCGCAATTTCGAAAAGAAAAAATTTTCGTCAGCGTCAATACTTAATTGGATATTTCCTTCTATACTTTTTAGCACGTAGCTATTTATTATTAGCATTATTCTTCCGACGTCTGATTTCTTTTTAATTATAGGAAATGCGTTTTTCTAAGGTACATAAACTTTTCGGATTGACTGTATAGCCAATACATTCTTAAATCTGAATGAGAGACGCTGAAAAGTACATCTTATCGTTGCAGAAAATTATCTAGTCATTCTCGTATCTAATAGAGTGCGTATAAGCTAAATGATGTAAATTAACCCGTAAACTTTTTGTTTCCTATCGTGTTTATCTATTAGTATAATTTTGATACTATACTTTTCAATTAGCAAAAAAAGAAATGATTTTCCTGCGGAAATTAATTCGTTTCACGGGGACGTCTAAAATCGATGGTACCAGAAACATGTACGACAAAAATGTTAATAATTTACATATACTTGAATAATGAACCAGACAAACTGAAACTCGCGAAGAAAACTACTGCGCTTCGAAACAGAAAGTCAATAAGTGTAAATAAATTTCCACTATGACCTCAATAGAAAATGACTTTGCTTATTTTCAAGAACCAAAGCCCAATTGTGTTATCACGCCCTATTTGCGCAACTATGAATGAGAATCTCTTTCGTTTACTATCGATAACGATCCATTTAAAACGACACAACCGTTCGTAACTTTGTTTTGCTATTTCCATATCACATTTGTAACCTCTTTATTTTATAATTGCCATTGGCGGCTGCATGATATTCGTATAAATACGCATAAATATACAATACGTGTGCAACTCCGAAGCATTTATTATAGATATTTTGTCATACCTCGCGCGGTTTCATTTCTTTACATAATCATCCAGAAATACGGATGTCCGTAAAGGAACATAATTTAAAACTTACTTGAGGTCGCGAGGGAGAACCTTGCAGATGATGTACAGCTTCCGATGGAATCTGCAAACCACCGGGAGCAACGCCAAAACGAGCGCAACCTGGGCAATCTTGTTGAACCCAGGGAAACCGAACCTCGTAGCCACAACACCGAACATCGCAGAAATGACACCCAGAACTATCAGTAACAGCCTTACATCCATGATCCAGCGTCACCCGGTCGGTCCACTCGGTACTGATATTCGCACCCCGAAACTGCGAAAGATAACAACGAACGATCAAACCCCTCATGCGTCAAACGTGGATAAACGATATACATGTATACGCATATGCATGTATTCGTCGGAGGGTAGGTAGGGTTCCTCCAGACCAGGGAGAATCGTCGTTTAGATTCGAAATTACATCACGGGACGCGATCGTATCTGCACGGGGAATCGATTTAAATGATTCTCGGTTTCAAAATCAGCCCCTATGTCTCTCTGAACGTATCGAAATTACGTAAGGTAGCGCGATCAGTGGCTTTATTTCTGAGTCGCACAAGGTGCAACGATCAATACTTAGCATTTTAGAGATTGGCGACGTTACTGGTGTCGTGTCAATCCGTTTTTGCATGTCGAGCCCCAAGGGTGAAACGATTTTCAGTCCCGAGACCGAACAAAGTTTCTCGCCAGTTAAAACCACGTTCGATCGGTCCTCTGTGTTTTGGAGCAAATTAAGAACACACGGACGGTGCACACGGGGCTCCGTATTTGAGTATTGCGCCAAGTATCGCGACCAAGTTCTGTCCTCGATTTAAGTTACACGGATGCAATGCTCTTTGTCTGATTGCGAGTTATCACGGGCAAGGGGCCTTTGTCTCGGAATCGCACGTGCTACGACGACCGCTACCTTGCGCTGTAGAGAAACGCGACCGCCACAACAACAACGTATATCATTTATGCCTACGTGCAACGTAGAATGCGATCAATATTACATTCAGAATCGCGTAAAACGCCTCGATGAATCTTTCACGGCTCGGGCGTCACACGATCATTCCCTTCGTGCCAAGTTTCACACGATAGGGGACTTTAAGAATCGATTATCTTCGCCGAACAAAATGCGACGACCGATTATCTTTGTTGGAGAAACGAAACTGAATGTCCGCGCATTTCGGAGAGCACTAGCTTTCACGTTCCATTCCTTTCGGATCACAGCGTACGCTCGGGTCGACGAATAAACTTTCCGCGTTCTAACTATTCGGGAATCCTTTGAACCTTGAATTTGTGTAGACCGAACTGTCACGATTTGTAAAAATACCACGCTCCGATTCCCCGACGCGTCTCCATCCGAGGTACGAGATAATTTTTCGCGAAGATTTCCCCGAGGCTCTTTCGCTTTAAAATAAAAAAGGAAAAACGGAATCGCACGTGGTGTACGAGAAACGAACAGTACCTTGCAGGCGGTACGTGTACCACTGCTATCGATTCTGAATTGGTTCGCTGAGGACTGCACGAGGCAGCATACAAATCAATAAAACCTGTGTCTTCCGGAACGAGTAACACGACTCTCTCTCGACGATGGCATCGACAACACTAACCAGCCGGTAAAGCGACTGAACAGAAGGCTTCGCGTTTCGCGTATCTCTTGCAGTTCGCTGTTGCGCCACCACCAAGAATTATTCCTGTACAATGGTGCACAAGTGTGGAGCTGCAGAAGAGATCGAAGTTTTATTTTAACAGAACCCCTACCAACGTATCTACTCGAGCTGCTCCGCTCCGACCGCACGACTCCTGCGAAACGAAGCTACTAAGCATGCTCGGTCCGTCTGTGGATTGGAGCGGGAGCGGATGCCGTTTCGCATTCTTCCACCTTTTAGTTTTTGGCCTCGAGCTTCTCCATTGACAGCGCCTTTCCAAGAATGACTATTAGAATTAAGTGGAGGACGTACAGGAACGGTTAACGAGAGGAGTTAATCACACCGGAAGGTTTGATGCTTGCAAGCAATTTGAACGAGGATTTTTCACCAATTTGAATACGTCATAGCTGCCGCTCGTTTTTCGAACAGCCTTTGATATTGCCTCGTGTTTTTAAGTTTTTCCAAGAACGAACAACTATAAACGTCAGACTAAAAAGATTCAACAAAGAAAGTAATAGGAGAATTGTGCTCGAACAGTTTTACCGCACATTCCTCTCGCAGAGCAAATTTTTTTGTTCGGTATTTTTCTTAAAATTCATTGCACCGCATGAGCGCACTCCGTTATCCTTGACTACATGAGGGGTTTGAAAGTATTATATTTAAATTCGTGCTTACCTTTTTTAATATAATATTTATTGTACCATACGGTGACCTGCTTGAAATGCACACACGGAAGTTTAGAACAGAGCTAGTTAACCATGCCTTAATCTATAATTTTAGGACTAGAGGTCTGGTTACAGTAACTTTATTATTCACGTTCCATCAGTACATATTTTGGTGTTAAGTCTTTCCAAAAAAAAATCACATGTTTTGTTATAGGTACCACATATACTATTATCTAATGGGGAGAATGGATAATATTGCATTTTTAATGAGCCACTTTATCATCGTTATTCGAGAACGCATTCCATAAAAGTGTATTTTCTGATAAAAAGGGTTTAATTCACAGTTCGTAGAGTTAATATACGATTCCTAAAACATGATCACTACTTTGTACAATTATTAATCATCCAATTTCTTGAGTATGCATTAGGTGTACAACAATTTCAACACGAATTATTTCTATAATTTCACTAGAAGTGTTAACAAATTTTGAGCATGAGAAATACGTAAGTCGAAAAAAAAACGTATTGCTCTATCTTATAATAAGCACCGTCGGCATCTCCTTAGAACATAATTAAAACATCCAGATACAGATTTATATAAAAATGCATTCATATCAGCCTCTTTGTAATCAATACTGTTATCGAATCAAATATTCATGAAACATTAAACAGATGTACAGTAATATTATTTATTTTTAGTTTTACCGAGTCTGAGCTAAGATAGAAAACGATGGGAAGACTTAATATATATTTAAAAGTAGTTCCTGGCAAAACTTTTAAAGGAAGTGTAGCTAGTAGGAATGTGATTTGTAGTGATTTACGAGGAAATTACCTAACCTTGCTGAGCTTGATATCATTTTTATACATTGATCTACTGTGGTAAATATTCTAAAATAATTATAAATTCATTTAATTCTGTGGACTCTTCTTATTATATTCACCGATATCTTCTAAATTTAAAATGTCGAACTCTGTGATGTATTTCCCTGCGAACTGGCCGAAGACACCGTTGGATATACTACGTTTGACAACTGGAAGACAAAAATGTTCATATTAATAGAATGAATAACACTATAAATAGTATCTATCGCACCTATGACTAACCATTTGTCGATGACCCGTTTATTTTCGTCAGTAAATATGTTGGTAGATCTTGGCATTCGCGAGCTATGTATGCTCCAATAACTGATAAATCAGTAAGAGGCGGTGTAATTACTTTCATTGTTTCGCGTACGACTTCTGTCTCGACTTCGTAGTAGCCTGTAAAATGCAAATGTGCATTAGATATTTTCATAACTGAGACATTTGTCGTTTAACGAACATAGAAATAGAAATTACCATCTTGCATTTTTTGAAGGAGATCGTACATATTGCGCGGTGGTAAAGTTGTTCGGCGATTAAGCGGCATCACGAAGCAACATTGTCCATCAATATCGATGATGCCAGTCATGTTCTGAAATCAAATAAATCATATATATGGATCTGTTTCACCAGACGATTGTACACCTCTATCTGGACATTGAACTTACAACGCGAAAATCATGTACGAATCTGCCTTTACGACCACCGCGAAAATCAGGCACATCAATTTTCTCATACTGTTCGTTCTCCAGGTCAAACTCGAATCGTTCTTTCATGAAGTTCTCGATATTCTTTCTAAACATCTTTTTGGTAGCTTCGAGTCTTTCCTCTTCGGACAAATCGCTCGACATATTTTGTATAATGAAATCGGACTCCGGCATGGTGTATGGAGATTTGTTTGAATTGTCATAGGAGATACTGTACCATCCAGTTCTTAATCTATGCATCTGGGATCGAGCATACTGCTCGTATATGTATAATCCACCGATTACTCCAATCACGAGGATCAACAATGCAACAAGGAATAGCAGATGTGTTGCAGTAACATGAATACGATGTATATTTTTTCTGTTAACAAAATAGTGACTTCTCACATCGCATTTCACACGCTGAACTTCCACGTCTATTCTTTTACAGCGTTTACTACTTCCCTGTTGAAAAAGCAAACAATTATCATTTATTAACAACCATTATTCATAATAATTAAATAAATATTAAACGCAAAACAAATTCTATCTACATGAAAGAAACCAGAATCCTAGCACCGTGTGACCGCCAGTCTACGATAGTGGTGACAATGTATAATGAACTGTTATCAACTGCTATTAAATGACGTAGCGAAATATGTTACATACGCAGTAGCTCGTAAAGTGCGAAAGCGCAATTAAATTGTGTTTGCAAACGCGTACATATGTACATAAGTGCGTAAACAATGTAAAAAACGATTATGCATCGTCAATAACAATAAGAACCGAATTCAATTAAGTAATTTATCATAGCGTTCGATCGACTAACGTTTCGATTGAAAATTTCTTTAAAGTCTTTTTACTTCAAAGACGTCGAAGAGTGATCGAAATTAAAGTTGAATAAAGATCAATAATGCTAACCGCCTCGATATCGTCGACTAACGGTTGATCCTTCTTATCCGCCTTCTTCTCGGTAATAGCCTTCGTAATGACCGTCATCTCGAGAAACTGTTCTTATTCAACGACCAACAGACCTTTCGCACGAAAATGGGTTTTCGTGCGTCCGATCGTACTTGCACCTGCAGCGAACGATTACGGCACTCCGCGAACGTTAAGGATAACACAATACGTGCGAAAGCGTCGCGGCACTACAGTTCAGAAAACATCCAGGATCAGGATGAACTGCATACATACAAATGCAACCGAGATTGATCGGTGACAACCGCGCCCTCAATGCACTAATAAATATCATGTACGCATGCGTCGACTCTGGGCAAGAGACATCCATATTGTTGACCGATTCCCAGAGTTGTCTATACATATATAAACCTTCCATGTGCTTATGCATATATATGCGTACGTGTTTGTGTTTTGATTGCACACATGAGTTTTAAGCAGGAAGCACGAGGCCTTTGACGATATTATTATTGTTCGATGTATTAGTGTTGGTACCGGTTTGACGTACCAGCCAATTATGGATGTAATTCCATGGGATTTGGAAGATGTCAGAACGAGGAATGAGGAGGAACAGCAGAATAATGACTCGGCGAGAATAGAAACGATTGATGATAAATGCACGGAGCTTGATCACGTTGAATTGATAAAGTTAACTAAAGAAGCTATACGTAATATTGTTGAAAGCGACCCGCTGCTTTCTGGCCTACCTGCGGATGTTACGATCGAAGAGCTCAAAGCTCAAATCGCAGTTGCACAAGGACAAGCGATAACTCTGTATTTAAATCGTGGAGAACTACCAAGACTGGGAATAGTGGTAATGTACTTTCTACAGAGATTTCTACATTTTCTTAATTTGACTGACTATTTAAACAATACTTTTTTTGCATTTAGGTACCACCTCATAGTACTACAGTGTTAGATCTTAAGAAAGCTATAAAACGCCATACGAATTTGTCTTTGAAGAGAGAAAAGATTAAGAAGAAAATAAGCTGGAAACATGTTTGGAAGAAGTATCATTTGTGCTTTGATGATGTAAGACTAACAGATGACAATGAAAATATAAGAGCTTATGGTATTACGAACAAAGCAGAGTTATATTACATAAAAAGGCACAGAGAAAAGAATAAGCTCATAAGACATGCTTAACCTATTTGTAACTTATAAAGATGTATTTTTGTCAAATAAAATAATATATTTTACTATATATGTGATACAAGTCTATTGACAATTACTATGATTCTTTTGTACATTAATTTTGTGGTAGAGTTTTGATCTTTGCTTGCTGAACTAGGCATGTTAAATATGGATTGATATCCTCCAGCATGAAACATGTTAAATCAAATGCAGCACTTCCATGATAGTTCGTTACAATCAACTTCTTTAAGTTGGGCATCCTATATAATGCCTCAATGCCTCTTTCTGTCACATTCTCACACTCTGATATATCTAAATACTCTAACGATGGAAATTCTGCAGACAATTTATCCAGAGCCCAATCATCAATCGATTTACATCCTTTAAGGGAGAGACTTCTCAAATAATACAGATTACAAATGAAATGAAGATGTTCGTATCGCAGAGGATATTTATTTAAATCCAGTTCTTCCAAGATGTATGTTTCATCGTAGTCCTTTGGTAATTGAGAAATAACCTTCTTCTTAGTTTTATCTAACCATTCATCGTGACCTTTAAATCTTACTTTACCACCAAATTCTATGACAAACTTGGCTGCTGCTATGTCTGGACCTGATTTAACATACTGTTCGTACTGGCGTTTTTCAATAAATTTCAGGAATTCATCTTTTTTCTGTTTCCACCAATCTTTCCAATGAAATGTTAAAAAGTCGGAAGACTTGGGTGAAGAGAACTTGAAGAACATCTTGTCCGGTGGTCTTTCGGTAGTATCGTTCCATTTCTTTTCAAGTGAATCTGTACCCACCGTGATTTGCCGCTTACGTAAATATCTTATGAAGTGCATAACAGCTTCATGGTTATTATAAAGTGTGCGTACACCGATAAATTGTAAAGGGTTACAGACAGTTTTACGTTCGAATATTTGTGTCCATAGCACTCGTGCATACTGTCGATTCAACATTTTCAGTCAGTAGTTACATCAGATTACGTGTAACGGCTTTTGTAAGGGATATACGCGAATTTTATGTGACTATCCCTGTTAATTTATCGTTTTGTAGGTGTACTGCAGTTTCGTTGAATTTTTCAATGTGTACATCGAAATGGTGGTTCTGTTAAAGTTCACGAACATTTGAATACTGGACCGTAATTAAAAACACGTGCAATATGAATTGATCGATAATGATCAACGATGGTAAATAAATGATCCTGTCAGAACATTATGCATGCGCTTCGTTTAAGATTTCACTACACGAATCCTTTCCGGGTATCGCACGAAACGAATCAAGTCAATCGAGCCGGTCGAGCCGCGTGAATCGATAGACGGCAGCACTAATCAGTTTCTATCGTTTCTATACTGCGTTGCGGTAAGCTGCTAGAGTTTTCGTTGACATACATACATGCAGTAGAAATCGAATAAATTTTATAATCCATTTTACTAGTCTCTGCTAATTTCCTCATACAGAAAAATCTCAAAGGTACGGAAAAATAATTGTCAATAAAATACGCATTCATAAACTCAGCCATTACAATTACATGCTATCATTAAAAGTCATCTAACATTTCTTATTGATGATGTCAATATTTCTATTGAAGAGACTATAATTAAATTTGGGTTCGTGTAAAGATTATTCAGTGGTGCCGTTATTAATTAAAAGTAACAACAACAAGATGATGGAAGATATGCAAGAGGAGGTTGGTACATTCTTATTTCTCGTATAACATTTTTGACATTTCGAGCTGTCATACTGAACAGATGAATTTTATTATTTCAGACCCAATTCGTGGTCGACGATGTAAGCAAAATTATAAAAGAAGCTATTGAAGTATCTATTGGTGGAAATGCTTATCAACATAATAAAGTGAATCAATGGACATCGAACGTCGTTGAAGCGTGCCTGGGAAATCTCACAAAACTTCAGAAACCATATAAATATATAGGTATGTCTTTCCTTAACTTTGAACGATTTTGCGTTCAACTAAAGAATTTGTTCTAGTCACCTGCACTATAATGCAAAAGAATGGAGCAGGATTACATACAGCAAGCTCGTGTTACTGGGACAATGCCACAGATGGTAGCTGCACAGTACGTTGGGAGAACAAGACAATGTATTGTATCGTTTCTGTTTTTGGCTTAGCTATTTAATTGATTTTGAAAGCTTTTCATAAACGTCAAGGGCGAAACATTAATACAGAATGAGATTCCGTTTAATAAGCTGCAAAAATTATAATAAATGATGCATAAAATATATGAGGAAATCTGTTTTGCAAAGTGGCCTTTTCCTTTTACAATATAATGCATTTCTTATATTGTAGACATATCGCGTCTAACGATAAGATACCTGTTGTTGCATTTGTCAAATTTAATTTGCTTCTTATGTATATACCTAAATATTTATTATAAGATAAGCATAGTAAAACATTTATTTTATACTTTTTATATAAACGGTGTTATTTATTATTTACATGTCTCTGTTTTACACAAAAGAATATTGCATTTTTACTAGAATCGTATATTTCACGTAACATAAGAATGCACAGTTCTAATTAATGTGCTAGATTGCAAAATATATGAATATTTTTTAGAAAATGAACACAAATTACACACGTTTAGTTTACTGATATTGTTCATTCCAATTGAACTTGGAACTTGGAAACTGTGTAATATCAACTGTAAGTTTTAAAAGTAAAATGTAATAAATTATCTTTTACTGGAAATATCGTGAATCGTTCTCTTCTACATTGTTTCACATATCTGATATCTCGGATAAGAAATCTTCGTCAATCGATAAATCTTCGTTTAACAAAAGCATGTTGACATTTAAAGTGTCACCGAATTCATCGTCTATGTATAAGTCTTCAACAGTATTATCTAGAATGCCCTGTAACAGAAGTAACGTTTGGAATTAGTTTTATCATTGATTTGATCATTTCGTTTAATGAAACATACCCCTCTGCGTATTGGTAGTTTCCCTAAAGTGGAGTTGTTAAGTGATTTCAATTGGCTCAACGTTGCTGGCAAAGAACGCCGTCTTGTTAAATGACACGATTTGCAGTCTTTGTTTTTCATGGAATCATTTAAAAGCATTAGATAAGAGTTTACCGGGGTATTTAAATTTGACTCTTCCTTAATTTCTACTTGAGCCTCGACGTCCTTACGCATTGTTGCAGCGCTCTGTACATTCTCAGAAGCTTTATTATTCTCTTGAATACTGATTATTTCGTCGTTTGGAGATTGGGGATCGTCCTTCTCAGGTAACACTGTATCATTGTACGATACGTTCAATTCGCTTGATACTTCAGCGATCGATTCGCAAACGAAGTTTCTGCTGCTTGATACGTCATGTGAATGATCGGCTCTTTCAAAGCTGGTGACGCTGACAATGATACTACTGGATTCATTCTGCATGTCGTCGCTGGTCAAGTCGCTTTCGTTAGAATTGACGACCAGGAATGTCTTGTTACCTGTCGTTGATCTTTCGATTGTTTCAATTTTAGTATCGTCACTGTCAGTATGTAAATTGTACAGCTCTTCGAAGACGGACCTATTCGCTTCATTATCTTCTATTCGTTCTTCGAAATTCTCGTCACATTTAAATGATGGAGATGGAGATGTACAGGACTCGATGCTAGGCGAAACGGTGCGTACAATTTCCGTAGCACGGTCTAAAGCATCTTTTAAAACTTGTAATGGTTCATTCTGAGAGTCATCGGGTACAGGCGATTCCTTTGTATTTTTAGACACTTGTGTAAACCCTTCTTGACTATCTCCTGATTCAGAAAATCAATCGTCATGCACTCAATTACTAATCGAAAAAGATTGAAATATTTGTAACGATTTTTACCATCCGACTGCCTCCTTATAACGTAGGTGTTATCACTACTAACAGACACCGATTCTGCTGGTTCTGGGCTTTTTGCAATAGTCTCAGTAGAACCGGTATCGTTATCATCCGGGTGTTGTACGAGATACTGAAATCATAAAACCTATGATCATATTTTGTCTTTCTTGAAAGATAGTATAATGTTAATCCCCTTACGGATTCATTGGCACAAGTCTTCCGCATTTTCGATAGGCAAATCAACTTCTCTTTCCGCCATAATGAAGTTTCGAAAAAGCTTTGAGGATCAGAATTTAATACGCGCGATCGCACTATCGCGCCTCTGATACTGTCAGGCGTGTGTAAATAGGGAACCTGTAACATAGCGTAAAAAATATTCTATAATATAATTGAAACGACTTTACAAANACAAATTTAAAGAAAATGCACCTTATGATGTTCTTGATACGTTGACTTTGTATAAGATGGGTCATACTGACTTGGAGATTTATTATATTTAGGTTCGAAGCTAGTTTTATGGCTAGCTGGCTTATGTGGCTCGTAATCCTTGCTCCTTACTTCAGTGATTATTTTATTCGTGTTCGAACCTAATATAACAAAGGAATTAAAAAGCTATATAGAATTTCTTGGTTTGCATTAAAATAAAAGATGAATCTCGTACTCAAATTCGTGGAAGCATGTGACGAGTCGCTACCATAAAAGAAGTGCTCCCTTTTGCACGCCAGTGTTTTCTTCAGCTGTTGTAAATTGGTCCTCGCGTCTTTATAAGATTCATCGTCTGTTGAGTCGATTAATGGTGACGAATATACCGACGTCGTTCTCGATTCTATCTCCTGCGGTGCTTTGACTTTCCTATAAGTGCTGTTCCACGGTTGCAACATTCCTCCTGCGTTAGATTCCTCGTATTGATCAGTATCTAAGATCTCTTGATTGAAATTCGGATGATTTCTAGTTTTCTTGTAATTAATATGCATGTTGCTAATTGCGTTCATATTCTTCTGCAGGTCTTCTCTCGCGTTACATTTAATATCATCGTCGAGCATTTGCTCGATATGTGCCATCGCCTTTAGATTCGCATTTCTCTTGGGCATTGATTTCCTTGAATGCAAATACTGCCTCAGCGATGATTCAGTATTTTTCGTCGGACAGGACAGCTGTTTAGCCGAGAGACTTTTGGTCAATTTCAAAGGTTTATTTTTCGGAGATTTCGTCTCTGGCAAGGCGCAAGTCTTTCCGGTTTCGTTATTATTATTATTATTTACAGACTGATCAACATATACCGGATCCTCATCCTCATATTGCATCTGAAATATCGACCCGTTAAACTCTCGAACTCAATCCGAACGGAATTCTTTTCGTAGAAAAGACGAACCTCTAGTCTTTGGAGAAATCTACGCATCCTGTTCATGTCTAATGTCCTTTTATTAAAATCTAATTGTAATCCAGCGTCTAACAGATTATGCAGCAACGGTGGAAAATCGTATAAATCGGTGATAACACCACGTTTCCAATGCGAATACTGCCTTTCCACGTCTGCTTTGCTATACCCGCTCCATGGTACGTGCACTGATTACCGATCAGAGATCAATTTTTTTTAATATCAATAATGTATGCTTATATGAATATTTATTATTACACTCGTAAATGAAAACTTTTTTCTATTATCATTAAGACCTCAAATAGACGTATGCCACAGGCAGCGATTATTTAAGCTATTTAAACTCCAGTGAATGCAATTTTATTTCCTTATCGATTCTAAACCTGTTTCACTTTTATAATGCATCGATATCACGCGCGGTAGAGTTTCTGGTTGAAAAGTCTAATCCCGTAATCGCTTAAGTAAAGAAATCCGAGCATATGAAATTCCTCGAACGCTCGTTCCGAGCAACCGCAACAGATTTTCTAAAGATCGACAACCTTTTTATTACTTACTTGTACACATCTCCCAAATCAATAATGTCAAACCGTACACGTCGCTTTCTGTGTGTGGCTCGTATCTGACAAAAAGTTCTGGCGCTTGCCAGCGGTAAATCTCGGTCCGTAGCCGTTCCTCGTATTCTCTGTCCGGTTTCGGCTGTGACAAAGTTACAAGATGCAAAAGATCATCAAAGGAAAAAGTATTTCATGTGCGCACTTTGCGATCCTAACAGCCACCGTTGTGTAGAAAAGATTTGTAAGAAGCGAACGTGAGAGATTGTGAAACGATGTGAAAAATTCACAGGATTTATTCATGGCTCTGCGCGTACATTATGCTAACTGGTTCTCACCATTCTAGATTTTATTATCTCCTACGGATACTTCGTTCCATCAAATTTCAACGTGAGAAATCAGATATTAAATATTAAATGCAATACATAATTTCAATGTGTTACAATTTCATAATAAAAAGCAGTTTTTTAATTATTTATTATGAAGCAGTAAAAAAGCGTGTGTGTAATTTCTAAAAAAGTAGGCATATCGAGAGATAATAGTATGACTCATGTCCGAAAATAATGTACGCGCAGAGCCGGTTACTGAAATGATTTTACGTGAATTTCCATGCGCCAGCCGCTGAATGCAATTAAGAATGTCACGGGACAGTGATTTTATTCAAAAATGAGCATTTTGTGAGCAGCTTACCATTTCCTGCCACGAAATACCATTGGGTGTGTCAACAGCAGAGCGGATATACCACTACATTGATTCTGTGAGGTATTCTCTAATTTTAACAAATAAAGTTTCGGTACACGAATCTGATAATCCATTTGGAGAATAGGTAATAATATTATTAGCTGACTTCGTAAAAGTTGTTTTACATCGTACAAAGAAATAACGTCCGTGGGTTAAATTAAAAAAAAAATCGGTAAGTATATACTTTAAATAAATAATCTATAAAATAAAGTAATACGTGGATTGAACGGGTTCTTTCCTTGAAAATCGATCGATGTCGTTCATTTTTCACATCAATTTCTTTATTGGTCTCGAAAGAACGTGCAACGCAACGGTTTATTGAAAGTTTAATGGACCCCATTATGCCAATTTATCACGAGCGCGCAATTTCGTTCGCGTTGAGTTTATGAATAAAATACTCCCATGTAGCTCGAATTAATTAATGGGCAAGTTTTAGTTAATAATTGTCGGTAGTCTATCAGTACAGCCGGTAACAAATACGAAAAGATATATCACTGGTTTTACTAATAATAAATATAAAATCTGTATTAATACTGTGATAGTTAGTCATTGGACATGCAATGCAATGAACGAAGAAATTTACTTACACTGTCGATGTGCATGGCCAGTTCCCATCCGCCGAGTTTTACTAGACCATTAGAAGCCAGATAGACGCAATGCGAGCTGATGGCAGTATGCACGTACCCGCGCATGTGAGCATGTCTTAACGCATCGGATAGTCTTCCTCCGCACTTTGCGATGCCTTGTATGGGTATTCGTTCACCCTGGTCGTGTATATAATGATAAAGAGTACAGTCGATAGATTCGAAGATCGAAATTAAACCATGTTCGTCGGTGAAAGTGCTGGCCATCAACAGTAACACGTTAGGGTGTCGAACTTCCCTGAAAAAATAAACACATGAATGCTATAGTATGTAGATGACTAAAAATTCTTTTACGTAATATTGATCAATACTTACGAAAGTACATCTAAATCCGCTTTGACAGCGTCTTTGCATTCCGGATGTGAGTGCCTCTTCAATGAGACTCGAGTGTTCTGCCACTCGGCAAAAATCAGCTCGAGATATCGGTCCTCCGTGCCCGCTACCCATCCGATTTCAAAAATCTCGGAGGGTGCTATATGCGGCAAACCGGTTGCGGTCAACTTTGATTCTCGCGACTTTCTCTCATTATCGCATTTGTTATTATTATTCTTCGCTAGATAATCGGCTCTCGACTTGTCGGGACTGCATGGTGCTTCGATCTGCGTGTCGTCGGAAGGCCGTCTGCGATCTATGAAAGCCTGAAGAGCATTGCGGTACGATTCACTGAAAACAGAAACGAGAACGCTTTATGTATTATAAGAATATGTGAAAATATTCGACACGTCTCGGGGGGAAGCGAGATGTGTAAGTCCGAAATTTTGAAATGCCCTCCAAAGCTTACACATGGCGAGCGATGAAATAAAAGACGGCCGATGACCAGCTAAATATCGAGGCAACGCGAGACAAAACCGTGACTAATACTTATTTACTTGCATGTACGACGGAAGTTAGAATGACACTGATCGAGCTACTAAGCGTTACGAACATCTCCGAGAAAATAGCGTGCCGCGATGTCAATTGAGAGAACCGTAGTTGACACCGTCGGTTTGAATTATTCTCAACATATACTCGGACAAAATAGGTTAAGACGTTTATCGGTTTCATCCGGAAAATGCAACACTTACCTGACACTCCGTCCGCGATTATAAATCATACTTCGCCGTTTATTCGTAGCGTCAGTCATTTTTCAAATGAAGAAACGAACTTCTCACTCTCACTCCCACACCGAGCAATTATTCTTCAAATTAATCCCTATGGTGGCACTACTGTTGTTAACGCGCGAATCGATTTACTGATGGTGCATCGATAAAAATGTTATTGTCAAATTTTCGTGCATCGATTGGCACCATTGTCATTCGCATTTCGAATGAACCGTTACATTCTGTGATCAACCGTGTGATATAACGTGCTGGGCTCGATCAGAAATATCTGAACGTAAGTATTCTGTTTAATTATACGAGATTCTTTATGTTCGGAGGGTGTACGAAGCGATGGACTATGTTATTGCGTAAAACCGGTGAACAGGTAGGGCAAGTCTAGGCAAATTCGGTAACCCTATCCACGGGTCAATTCAATCGTGCATTCGTTTGTTGTAATAGATAGAACGATTTCCCGTGGAAGGTGCAGTGATAATGATCGTTATTTTCTGGTGTTCACTCAGGTTTAGCATTCTCACAATGAGCCGGAACCTGACCCAACAGTGAACCCCTGAGCGAAAAGTACGGACGCTGCACGGAGCTCGGCTTTCGACCCAGTAGATGCACGCGGCAACAAAAGAGTAAGTACTTATTCTATTGATCGTAAAATTAATATTTGCATGCTTATCATTTGTTTCTATTATCGTCAAAATGCAATCGTCAAGTGTTTGTTATTTGAACGACATGCATGGCGAAAATATGTGAATTCTTTGTCAATAATTTACTGATTTGTACATCGTTAATTACGGTGTCGTGATGAATGTAATTCGATGAAGTGAGGAATAGTTTTAGGCAACAGGATTAGACTCACTTATTTAGGCCGCATTGTTTTTGCGCCGAGTTCCATCCACTTCGATCCCTTTGCACGTTATCTCTGAAAAACACACGTTAGAAATAAAAGTAAAATTATTGAGATATTTTTTATCGAATCTCTGATAGTGATTTACGCGTTATATTTGCAGTGCTTTCGTTTAATAAGACATATCGTAATTCTCGAATGTACTGATAATGTACATCATATACGTCATTATACGAGAATCTTTGGTATCATTCAATTAGAGACATTTAATTAGATAAAGAAGATCTGTTGAAGAGAAAAGAATAGAAAAGAATTCTTGACGGTATTATTTAACATCAGATATCTTTGAGAAAAGGCGAATTTTATTCGGTCACGGCTCGGGCAGCTAGGGAGGTCAGTAGAACAATTCAGCTGAGAAAAAAGCCAAGCATCGCGGAAAGTGAACGATCTAACGTCTGTTTTTCGCTGGCGAAATTCCAGATTCCGCTAGCTTTGTACTTTCTCTGATTCCTTTTTCATGGATCGCAGAGCAACGACACTGTTTCCGCGATAACTGTGTATACATTATACGTTTCCTATTCTTAATTCTCTTTCCTGCGTTTCTTTTTGTTATCTGATTTACATATCGTCCGCGATCTATTCAATTCGGTATAACAGAACGGAAACGAATGGTACGTACCGGGCAAATTAAATACTCGGCTCGGATTCCGTACTTTGCATTTTTTTAAAAATGTGTGCAATTGAATCTACCTAATTGAGGCAAATCTCTAAGGATGCATTCATTCATTTGTATACAGGAAACGACTGGTTTGAATGTATTTACCAAGGAGGCTCATAAACTTTATGATCTTAAGTTTCCGTTAGATTAGATGCACAAAAGGAAGGAATACTCCGTTTTGTACGTAAAACACTTAATACAGAATAATCGCAAACACTAACTTGTATGTTCTAAAAAACATGTTATCTGCTGTTATTATTGAATCTCCGAATCATTGTTCTAAAAATGATTTAAGTACTAAAACAGAATGTGTTATACGTATTTATATAAGAAGTCGTGAATGCAATTTTCGCCAAAGAAGAAAATGAGTATCAGATAATTGGCGCTTGTCACGAGAGATTAGTTATCAAATTGCATGTACAAAAATAGACACGTGCAATTGACAAAATCAAACGTAAATGGCAATTTCATCAATTGAATTTAAGCATTGGGCAGTGTTTCGTTAAGAAATCTCGACTCTATCAATTGAAAGAGCAATCAATTAAACTGTGTAATGATTACGTCCAGTAGTTGAGACTGATCCTAATGATAGCCAGTTCTTCCCTCCCTCCCCAAGTATTTTTGGCAATTATTATTTGACAAATAATTTATTGTCAAAAGCTCAAGTATTTCCGATAACATAAAAAAATTTGTTAATTAATATCGTTAGAGTGATTAATTTTAGTTATATCCGAAGTTAATTAGACAATTAGTGGAATATTTAAAACCTAATGAAAATCGATGATATCGTTTGGTAATTATAATCCTGTCTCGTACACGGGACGAAGACTAATTAAGGCTTTCGAATCGAAGCCAATTGATACACTTCATCCTGTATTTAACGCGAGCGTCCGCGTTGCTCTTATTTGAATTTCGATACGAGTCGCAGCAGCGTGCAGGATTTACGGAGGTCCGATTTTTATGCCTATTTCTGTGTCAGTGAAATCAGGAACGCTGCCGATAATAGGAAACATACAAACCTAACGATAATGCAATCTGATAACTTATAATCTACAACTGAGTAGCATATTTGCAACAGTGCTTCGCTTCGTTTCAATATATTCGTTTCATCAAGTACTAGCGGATATTCATTGAGAAATCTTTTATAGTCTTTGATGAAGTAGTGGTAATTGCCTTTTTGGTATCTGCTCGATTTCCTGATTTTCCAGAATGAGTACGAAAAGTGTCATAAAATTGATAGATGATATTTGTTAAATACTGTTCATTCAATTTCCTGTAAGAGGAGCGAAGAAAATTTTTAATCAAGTATCGACACGTTCGTTTAATCGCATAGAGACATTTTATTTGTTTCATCCGGATTAGTTACAAGGAGAGAAGGAAAATAAACGCAGATGTTGCACATCCTATGACCGCATTTCTCGCGTCAGTAAACTAGGCAGTGAGTTACATTTTTGTTTAATCATAACTCTTCTTCACGATTTGTTTAGAAGTATCTTGGGATTATTCTGAGAAATATTCTTGCACTATAAGTTAAAGGACATATAAAAATGTATAACAGTTGGTTTGAGTACTTAATTATCTAACTGCATTTGTTGATTGAAAGGAAAAATTGTTAAATCTTCTGGTAATGTAATACAGTGGCAATCAATGAATATGAAACAAGACGTAATTTACGGTTTAAATTGATATTACGATTGTTGCCTGTTGAGTCTCGGTTCCGCGACATAACTATCAACAGGGAAAGCACACGGCGTATTAGTATGCTTAATAAACCTTTATTGCGCGCTCGTAGACCGAGGACTGACCTGCCGCTATTCTCAGATCCGCATCGTCACAGTTTCATTAGCAGCAATTATGTAACATAAAGTAAGATGATTTGTAAATTTGTTGCGACAAACGTTAGAACCAAATAACTTTTCCCGCTAATGCGGGCACGTTTTACGTTCATCGTCGAGTAAATTTCAGCGCTCGAGGTTTGAAGCTTACGGTCGTACTTCAATATCTTCCACGTCGTAATCGCAAGATTATACAAATTACAGAGTCAGGAAATCGTTTGCAGATACCACAGAATAGAAATAGTTAGTCACTCTCTTAACTACTTCAATTTGATTTATGTTTCGTTGTACAATGCGTATAATCCTGTTTACTCGATACAATTGTCCATGACCGAAATCGTTTGTATTCTATGTAGAATTTCCGACGAATAAGTCAATCGGGTGTATTCTTCTTTTCACAATAGTTTTATACTATGGAACACCGGTAGGGTCATTTAGTTGAGAGCATAATGGAGGTCATTATATCGAGGCAGAGTTTCATTGATCCTAGTTAACGGTCTACCTGTCCTCGCGTCAAAACCGCACAAAAGGACCCAGTTTTTTCGAGCGCAATTAGCCCGCGTCTTCGATACGCTCGAAACATTTTCGCCGCGCAGTAAACGGTACCGTGTACAGAGAAATTCGTTCAGCTACTTTCGTCCGGGTGTAATTGCTCGATTGAATCCTTAATTCTCTTTGACGCGTGATATTTAATCTACCAATTGTGGAGTTACAAAACGTTTAAAGGCTTCTTAACGACGTTTTATCTCTTGTTACTATTATACACTATATGAAGTCAAATATTATTGTCGTAAAGTCGACGGTTCGATTTCAAAGATTTTAACGTGATTTGACGAATTAATTTTACGGATCACTAACCACCGCATTGAATTTCAATTGAATGGAACGTTGGATATAACGGAGCATCAATTTCAAGGAATACTAACTCTATAGAATTTCGGTTGTAAGCGTAGGATAACGACACGTATCGATTTAGCGGGATGGTCAATTTCGTACGATTCTAGCATTAGAAGCAACTTGGGTTTTTATCGAGAGGTCTTGGTTCGAAGAACCACGTTAAGGAATTCCAGTCTGAACAGGGCATTAGTTCCGTGAGATTTTTTCAAAGTAATGACCTTAACGGATGCTCCCGGCTGCATCGGTTCTACACTCTTGTCAAGCGCAGGTAAAATATCAATTTTCAACTACATCAACCATGAGGAATTTCAATCTCATAAAATACGAGCTTTCGTAAAATTGGACTTCGCGCAAGGTTACACAAATTCATTATAAAAGAACGTCAGGATTTTTATACTTTTCACTTACTAACGTTGCACGACTGGTATTACACAAAATACGTGAAGAACTCGCGTCGAGATAAACTGAAATTGTGAATTCGACGAGAACAAGTATGATAACGTCCGCGGTTGGAATCACGATAAAACTAGCAGATCACCGTTTCGCTGCGAACTGTTTCAACGTTTCGGAGCAGGGGAACCGGTTGCAGCGACGCCTGTGATAAAGCATAATTCTCTTGTCGGCTAGTCACGTTATAGGTGAAGGTCACCGAGTTCGTATCAGACGGCTGATGATAGCGTAGCACCGAAAAGCGTTTCAACGCGCCGTTCCGATGGCGGGAAATGCCCGAGTTTCAACGGGACGTGGATTAAAACTGGATTGGAATCTGGAGTTCACGGATCCGAGTACATATCACCGTTACGTAGAATATTACGTTTTACTTAAGCATTCTAGCTATGTATTTCCATTATCTATGTATAGAGATAGAAATACTCGTTGATGACGCGATGGAAGTAGCGGCATTATCGATGCACAGACGTTTCAGATTTGCATGTTGCACTCCAGATATTTTAATTCGCGTGTGAAATCGTCGAATTGATTAAATATCTAAGAAATACAGGATTAACGTTTGACGTTCGAGCATGGAAGTAATTACGAATCGAAACATCCGCGTGTTCGTTAAAACCTGAGGTCATTAATTACTTCCCTGTATTCCTCCGGGAGCTCTTCCGCTCGAGTAATTTCACTGATTTCGCGTTACGTAAAACTGGATCGTTTTATTCAGATTCGGGCTGGCATGTACAACAATCGCAATAAGTATCACGCGCGCGGTGCGTTTAGTAACTGTAATTATCATAGTCATTGTTGTAACGCAGTGAAAGACGCGGTTGCCTGTTTGTCGCCGCTGTTCCGAACAATGTGACGTTTCACTTTGTTGAACACCGTTTCCTGCGGTACGGCTCGGCCGATGTGACAATAATGGTGAGAACTTGTGGTAAAAATGTACCGTTGTGTTCACGCTAATTATCTCCGGGATTCCAGTTTCAATAAACGAATTTCGAAAGGAAATTAAAGAGAAACTTAACCGCCGCTTGAACACTTCACACGACTATTTAAATCGATTCGAACCGTTGAAAGTAAAACTACTCTGATGACTCTCGAACAGAAAATAAGAATTTTTCACAAAATCGAAGTAGTTCACTGTTTTAAAATAAAAGTTCAACGTTCACTTACACATTTCTTTCTTGGATCGATTTTGCACATTCCGCGACGATCGTAGATATTACGTTACTGGCCACTTCATGCAGAATGCTTAAAATGAACTCATCCATTCCATTACTTGAAAAATGTCTCTAAAAGAGACCGAAGTGGATCGTTTCACAAGTGTTTAGGAAATAATAGTCAAACATGATTAGCGTCTGCTAAATAAATTGTCTACTGTTCCAGGTGTATACTGAAGGTTGATTTTGTTTTCGTATCGTCGTACAACGTGTCTAGATACAAGTATTTTTTGCTCAAAAACGGTTACGATGTTCATGTACATAAGTACTGGTTTTAATTTTCAAAATCTACCGTTGGAAAATTAATTTATGTTTACTCAGTTAGTCGACAATTATTCATGTAATAGCACGTAGTTTAATTTCTTCTTAATTAAGAAATAAGTGCATCCACTGACGACGCTGTTACTGATAATAATTTATATTTCAATTAATAAATACTTGTTACTTTTAAAGCAGCGAGTNGTGTTATAGGGGTTCGTAGCAGCTATCCGTTGTAACGAAATGGATCTGGCATGATCACATTATGGATCTTTAAAACGAACCTTTGTAAATACCCCAGACTGCGTTCTACTAACAACCGTGACAATCCGACGGTTAGAACTTCATGTGCTTACGTTCAGCGACACTATTCTATTGCTTAATTAATGTTAACGCCTTCAGCTTTTTCATAAACAAATCTATTTTTAGTGACCGAAGAGTCGACGAGTCATTTTCCAAAAAGTACGTCTGAACCTACTTTGTTTCTTTTTAAAACATTCATAAGCGTCTAGTCTACTTAGTCTAATTAATATTCGACTTAGGTTTATTCCACTTAATATTCCGATTAACATTCGACGCTCTCAAGTGATGGCATCTCGTGAAAGTCAAACGTGTGAATACATTTCGAGTATCTCTAAAATATTCAAACGCTGATTATCAACAAGAAAATAAACGATTGCACTGTTCGCCAGCGATAAGTGCCACTCGAGCGTGCAAATAATTTTGTATATCTTCAGTTTTACGAATCTTATCTAATCCTCAGTTTACTATACGATTACGTTAGAGAAACAAAAAGCTATAACTCGAGCTACGTAATTATTATCAGTTGGATTTAGTTCGACGATATTTTATTAAAACGAGAAGAGCAATTGAGGAAAACGACCTTCGGTGACATATTTTGCAATTCAGTAATAAATAATTATCTAGAAAGCGTTGAGATGAAGAAGTCACGATACCTCCGTGTTTGCTGATAGAGAGTTTAATAATTCATATCTCAATTGCCGAACTAAAAATGTAACGTTAATTTGGAGAGATTTTATTAACATGTCGTACTTGGCATGTGGTTCCAACAACTTCCTTGTATTTGTTGATGTCAAGTTTTCAAATGCCAGTGTTTATCTATAGTTAATTATAGCTTACAATTATTCTTGTTTTCCAATGAATGTTGCTTTCCTTCGATATTTTAAAGAGCGTAAGCTGCGGAAATGTAGTCTATCTACATACTACCTGTGTAATGCATAAATAAGCAGGCAAAGTATTTAACTCGAAGGTCGTAGAACGTTTTGAAAAATTATTGTTAGAAAGTTTTCAATCGTCTTTTGTTATCTTGAATCGTGACTTATTTATTTTAAACTAATGTTTAATTCATTACGAAGGGAAATTCTCTTCAAAATACTAGTTTCTCGCTTTAATAAATATTCGTGACACAAATGACATTGAAATGAGACCACAAAACTTGTACTACAGATTGTCAGGAATTTCTAAAATCCATCGGTACATTTTCATCCTAGCCCCTCGATTATCCAACAGATTACGTATTAATAAATCAGTTACCACGAATTCGGGGAAACCATAAATACCATAAACCCTCGAAGAACGGTAAATAATGAGCAACAAAAAAACTTACTTTCTGAGCCATTTGAACATTCCCATCATTCCCATCGCGCACGTGGCGCATCGGATCACGGTTCTTAGATAAAACTCTTTGATCCGACAGGCGAGCGTCGCGACGCCGATCACTAGCACCCGGAACGAGAGTTTGCACTTGCTTCGCGTCGCACGCCGATCGTGCCGATTCGCTTCCTTTTCGCGACTGACGAGCCGGCGAGCGCCCGTGCCTCCGCGACACTTCCTTCTGACACTTCTGACAACGCTACCGACCGCGACCGGCCGCACGCCGTCGCTCGCTCCGATTCTCAGCCGCCGTTCCCCACTATAGATATCCTGGCCGAAACTTGGGCATCCTTGCGTATCTTCGCGTCTCGGTCTTCAGGAAGGGTAACAGGGTCAGTTCGGGGGAGCTGAAGTTTCATGCTTCGACGAAACGATGTTGCGTCTTAATTTTTTGCATCGCTATGTTTACGGCACGATTTACTTCGCGTGCAAACCGCGGTGCAATTATAATCGAGGGACATTGCTCATGTATTTATTTTAATTTGAGTCAATTCTTGTCAGGTAGTTTAGAACTGTTTAGATTAATAAAAGGAAAAAGCAATGATATGGAAACATTGAATGAAGTTAAACGATGTAATAGAAGATCCTTTTAAAATAATTGAATATAAGGATAGTAAAACCGTATCTAAGTTAGAATTATTAATCGAGACTAGGATATATTTAGGAGATATTAAAGTACTGTGAAATGAATGAGTCGTCGTCTTTAAATTGTTATAAATTAGTCACATTATTACTGTTTCATCTAAGCGCATTTCACATATCACGCAGATAAATCTTCTTGATTGCGCAGTCATTTCTCATATATAAAATGTATCTATGTGGTATTAAACTCACCTGTTCCAATCCGGTACATTCATTTTTGCAATTCTTTTTATCTCAATCGCAGTTAAAGGGTGAATGAAATCCGTAAGACGAGAGCTTCGTGTGTTACAATTACGTTTAGTTAAAATCACGTTCGCTCATTATACGTGTGTTTCTCAAGAATGAATTTCACTTAATTAAACAATTTCGCGTTTATTTTTATATTACTTCAATTCGATTATTAACAATATCCCTGGAGAACGTAATATCGTCGTGTCAGACAAGCCAACTTTTGGAACTCAATGGTAATCGCTGACGTTCGCTAAAGTTTGGCAACAGCTTTTGACTTCGGCGAATTTGCATGTGTACGCGTCTTCGATTCCCAGTAGCTCGTGATTAAACTACGCGAATTATAAATATCCGTATTTATTAAAATATTATGTATTCGTGAAATTCGATGCTTGTTTACAGAATTTGTTAATTCATTCTTGTTCTCGTCATTGTAAATTTCAAAGTTTCAATAATCGTGAGTTTAGGATTTTGTAATTAGAATTTCGTTCCCTCGTTTCATGAAAAATGTTTTTCATTGTATCAAAAGAGGAAGTTCGCGTTTAAGGAAACGTTTTAACGATTAACCGCGGCATAAACTCGTTTGAGAATTTACATTCCTAGACGATGGTGGTTGCTCTGGAACTAGGAAGCTTTTTGCGGAATCATTCTCCGCGATGAAGTTCGTTTGACGCCGGGCTGTAGGGACGCGGTGCTGCGTAATGACGTGCCTCTTTTCGCTGGCTCAATTCATGAGACCAGCAGACGGCAATCAGTGTGATGAGTGATAACAAACAACAATTACTTCGTGCAGTCTGCGGCAAAAAGAGAGAACTAGGTTGTTCGAGGTGCACGTAGGAGGAATGCCACTTTGACAATCCGGCTTAGTTGCTGTTACGCTTGTTTTATGCTCAGGATTAAATTAATTGCACTAGGATAATTATTAAAACAATTGTCATTGAATTGTAATTTCTGTTTCTAAATAAATGGTTTAATGTCGAGGAATATGCGCATACATTTTCTAATGATTCTATTACTTGCAATTAATTAAGAAAAATCAGAAAGAGAAATTCGTAAAGTCTTTGTACTCCATCTTCTTCTTGTATAACTTTGACTAAGCAATTCCAACTGTTTTGGTTTTTGGTACACATAGTAAATGAAACTACATTAAATTTTATTTCAGAATCTTTATTATTTCATGATAAATACACTCTGTATAACATTCGACAAATATGTTTTCTCACATCGTTAACAAAATAATACACTTCAATTAATACTTAATACAATCGGTAACGCTGGTGGCATTGATAGTCTCAGCTACCTGAAAGGACTAGTTGATCGTTAGTTACATCTTAATATAATGATCACAGCACACAAACAATATAAAAATATAAATCAAACGAACACTTTACAATAGAGAGGTAGTAGCAGTAGGTATCACAATGGTACTAGCGAAAGTCAAACCAAAGATTACAAAAAGATATCAAAAAAACAAGTCCAAGTGGCACTTATATCGTTCAACACCTGATGTCTTCTTTTATTCTATTAACGCGATTTCATCTCTTGCTTTATACAGGAAGTAAATGCTCGTAAACGCTTGAGTCGCTGTTGAGACTGAAAAAATATAATAATTAATAACATTTGTAATATCAAACATCAATTTAGAGTTTATTAGTAAAAAAAATTTCTGATTAAATGATGCAGATAGTTCTCTGTATAAGATGCAACTGGCCTTGCACCGATGCATATCAAAAGCAGGTTGCAGCTTTTCAGGGACGCTTAGTAATAGACTGAGGATTTTATGCACTTAGATTTGTATAAGAATCTTCAGTCTATTTATCAGTGATACATTTAAAACGGAATCGAAGTTAATTTCTTTAAATACCTTGAAACCTCTGTGCAGACGGTCTTTCATTATTGCTATGAATTCCGTGTACGATAGCTGGCCATCGCCGTCCTCGTCAAAAAGCGCAAACACGGTATCCATAGTATGATCGCTGAGTACGGTTCCAGTGCAGATTTTCACAGCACGTTGAAACTCACCTGAAAATAAATAATTATTGAAAATTTGTACAATCATTTATACTTTTGTAGATAATATGTATCAATACTTTTCGATATCGGATGATCCGCTAGAGTGTACATTCGCATGGCTATTGCGAAATCATCGATGTTGTTCAAGAATTGATAAAAGTGCCGGAATTCATCGAACGTGATTCCCTTTTGAAGTTCTGAGTTTATGAGTATCCTATCTAAATATTTGTCGTACCTGCAAAGAGGGAAACGTGTGGACGTGCAATTAATAGTAAATAGGATTTCTATTTGTTTTGAATAATGAATTAAGAAATAAGTTTTTTTGATGATAAGGGAAACTCACTCTTCGGTGTCGAGATGAGTGTACCGCAATAAAATTTTCGCGAAATCTAATTCGGAAATAGCTTCGCGACCCTTGCTAAATTCGTGGTATTCAAGTTCTAGAACCTCGTACTGTAGATTTTCCATGAATTGTTTGAAATCTTCATATTTCAGTTCGTTGATCCCGTCTCTTCCAAAGAAATGTACCATCAGAGATGTGTCAACTGCATGTCGCCGTTGAAGACCCTGAGAACAATATGTTTCTTCAATATGAATTGCAGAAGTATATGAGGATGATTGTAGTGTTTTAAATATTTAATACCTGTTCATCATCAATGTATTGAACTTGTATGTCCTCGGGGGTGGTTTGTCTTTCTGTTAAGAGCTCTAATTTTTCTTTGGTCTCTGTGCCATGTCGTCCTCTCCAAGCATGGCTGAAGACTTTCTCCATCTGTTTGAAATAGAGAATTAGTCAAATTTTTCGCTTACTATTAGGTGAAATGCCATTGGAAAACATACAGTGTTTGCATAATGCAGAAGCAAAATGGTAGCAATGATTAATGTTTCTGAAATAGAATTAGAGGATATTTACACGAAAACGTGGGTATTATTTTTTCTTTGCGTTTTAATCTCGTACAAATTACTTACCTGGAATTGATGGTTCAAAATTACTGTTTTAAGACAAACGTTTCATTTGAATATTTTTATTGAGTTTCCTTTTTAAACACAATATTATTAAGTACTGAGGATCTTTAAAATCTCAAATATTAATTACGTTAATTACATAGAATTATCAATCATTTCTTTGTTCATTTTTTATTAATTGTTTGATTTAAATTGTTAGATTATAATAAATTGAATTCAAATAGAACACAATAAATAACGAATTCGCAAAGGCAACTTACGTAGGAGTTAGAAATTATCTGATTTTTCTCGTTGGTGTAGTTGTTACGAATTTTCGCTTTATGAACTAAGCCTTCATTCGGTGTCATGATGTGAGATAACTAGTGAATTCATAAAGAATAATGAATAAAATCTATTTAAAGTATGAAAACGATACGACAAACACAAGGGCTCTGAACCGAAATGATCAAGCAGAAATATGAATGAAATAAAAAATTGCACGATGCATAGGATTGCAAGGACGATAAGAAATTAAGCATCGAAATATGCGATAAGTAAATAAAAAACAACGATGGAAGTACTGTTAATGATATAGTGGTTCAGGATATTTCTTGATTTGATTTCTTTGATTTTTCCTGATTTGCATATATCTAATCAATTGGAAGTATTAGTATCAGCATTGAATTTCCAATGTTAAAAAATATGGGAATACATCTCGAAGATCGGGACAAGTGTTAATCGATATTTAGTATATATTGCTATGCTCGTTAGATGTTGAAGCCGTTTTACATCGGATACGACTCGAAGCGAGTAGTATAAAATGGATCGCGTATTATTAATCGGGAATTGCGACTCTTCTGGTCGAGACTCGGCTTTCATGAATATATTAAAACTCACTGTATGTTTAGTCTCATCGTCGAGATGCCGGTAGATCAGGCTGCCGCCGAGCAATCGTCGAATCTGTGAAAATTACCAACGCATCCGTGCAATTTGAAAAATTCTACTCTGTTGATTCGATCTGCTCCTCCTCCTCCTTCTCCCGGCGGTCATGCGATTTTTTTTCTTCGTTTCTCGGAATCCGCGTCTTATTTTCGCTGATCGAATCACTGATCGAATCGACGGAAGCTTTCTTCGTACACTGGTTGTTATATTTTGGATTTTGTTTTCTCATTTACTTCACACGTTTAAGAATCGGTTTTAGGGATAAATATTTAAGGTAGGCAGATTAAAATCTTTATTTTTTTTTTAAATGGAAACAAATATATATTCTGAGAAGAGTGAAACACCAAATAAGCGACTACGTAATGCAGTAACTTAAATTCTTTAAAAGCACCACAGTAATTGAAATGATTTAGAAAGCGTGTAGATCTTTTAATCAACACTGCAATCTCAAAAATAAATTTAAAAATATTCTACAACATAAACCGTTACTATATAACTGAAGGATTTTTAGATTTTCGAAAATCTGTACAAACTTACCACAAGAAACTCGGTCTTGTCCACGCGTTCGTTTCCATCCGTGTCGAACATGTTGAACGCAATACGAAAGCCTGATTTAGGTTCTGCAACAGAACACCTCGTTGAGTTTTATTTTCAACTTCGAATATTTTTACAAAGACGAATTATACTCACTGATCAGGATAGATAAAAGGAACAGATACTCCGTGTAAGAAATGATGCCTATGGAAACAAAGAAATCGCAATTACTGAAGTAGAAGAAATGAACAACATATTAGAATATTTTACTAAGAACTGTTTAAGATGTGACTGAAAAGATTCTCGGTTAGCGGGTAATATGTCGAAGTCTCGTTGCGTTAAAATAACTCTTCGATCGTTAAGTTTCATTACGCATCTCGTCGAGGCAGGTCTGATCCGGTCGAGGTAAAAGAAGTCGGCATTCTGATAGGAGCTCATATCCATTTAAGAATAAAATCCATTTATGGGAAAATGATGTACGACGCGGTCGAACGGGTTTCCATCGGTTTTGTTTACGATAACGCCGCGACAAAGTTCCTGTACTAATTTCAACGATAATCGTGTTAAATCGTGATCTGAGCGTAACAGGTTGCCGCGAGCGAGTCCGCGCGCCGGGGAAAGAGGTAGCGATGATGGACATTAGATACGCCCCATAGAGTTCCAGGCATTTTTCGTTTCGGGGTTCATCCCTTTCTCTCGCGGTTCGAGAACGCGGCCAATAACTCAGACTTTTAACGGCCCGACGGGGGGACGCTCGCCCGAAAGCTAAATTTTGATCCCCCTTCGAAGAAGTCTTCCCCTTGCGCGCTTTTCACCTTCGCGCCGCACGGCCACGAAATCGATTTTATGTGCCATAAGCACTCCATAAAACGCTTTCACGGCAATGAAACCCGGAGGTGGAGGAAAGTTTACGAAGCGGAAAGCGAAGAAAGTGGGTGGAAGGAAACGTTTGGTGTAGACGATACATTCCTCTTTCCTGTCTTTCGACATCTACGCATTGAAACATCTCACGAATGAAGAAATTTGTCGAGTGAGGTCGGCAAACATCAGAAAAATGCGTACATCAAAGAGATGATAGAGATCTCTGGCTTTTTTAAACTGTAGGTAATCTGTAACTCGATTAGATAGCTTCGTTTTACAAATTTTCTTATATTTTTCTTAAGAATCTCTTTATATATTAATATAATCGCGTAAGATGTTCAAAGAAAAATTAGAAACAGTTTTTTTCGGCGTCGGATTGTGTGCTGCATTTTTGCGCGACACTTCATTCATAAAATGATCCCACGAGCCACTCGGCCACGACGTGCTACATACTTGGCGCACGTCCGTGCAATAAGGAAGTATTCCATTTAGTCACGGCTGGAAATGGCTTTGAACAGCGAACGAACCGATATTGGTAACACGACGCCTGTTCCGTATACGTTGCGTTTAATACTTATTGTTAGTGCAGCTCATTACGTACGAGGCGGACTGATAACGACTGTCACTTCGAACGTATTCGTAAACGCGTAAATAAGGGAAAAGAGAAATTAAGAAGAGAAGCTATCGCGCGTTCCCTTATTTTTATAATTAAAGTCATTTCGAGGGATTCTTGCCTTTACAATCCCGAGAACATGCAAAGTGATCATTTCTATTGGTTTATCCGTACAGTCCGCGGAAAGTCGTAGATCAAGCCGGCGGCCTCGTACATCGACTCATGAAATGTGGGCTCACGCACACGCGTACGTGTATCGCGAGCAGGCGACGGTATACACGCGGAAGAAAAAGAGAAAGCGGGATATACACGGGGAGCGACGGAACTCGTTTATTAAAGGGAAGTGTGAAACTGGCCCCATGCGCGATTATTTGCATTTCCATTAGCGCGACAAACGTGCGGTGAACGCACAAAAAGCTGGGAAGGGAGTAAAAACCAGCTGCACCGGCGTGCCGCGGAGACTCGTTAACGACGCAGCCCTGTTATTTCGGCCGTCGCAGGGGTGGCGGGATTAATTGCTCCACTGATCTCCGAGGCGTTCACGCGAGGGCCTTAAAGAGAACGGCTTGGAAATTCCTGTAAGAGATACTGAACGTCACCTCAGGCGTCTATCTCGAAGTTCTGATTTTTTGTCGAGATCGTCGAAGCTCCAATAATGCAAACTTTATCTAAAAGATAGAATTCACGCTTCGTGGGTAATAGAATTAATCTTTCGATTGTTTGGTCCAAGCATTTAAAGAGGTATTGATTTTGCTTTATGTAAGAGATATCGGTGCTAAAATTAGTATTCTTGCATGCAGGACGATAAAGAAGAAAATCAGAATCAAGCTAATATTTACTGAAACGTACGCTCGGTCGAACGCACCAAACGTGTGTTTCTCTTTCGAACAGAAAAATTTCCACGCCCGAGAAACTGTCTCGAGGTTCGAAAGACACGTTCTTCACACGGTTCTATACACAAACTCGCGTCGTTAAAACTTTTTCCTCGCCCATGCCTCCCTCCGCTCGGTCGGTGTGTAAAAATCGAGAGCGGTATTTTTTGACTGCTGCTCACCTTTGTCTCGAAGGTTTCTGAACATATGTGGGCTTCCGTGGCGCAGCGGAGGGATGCTGTTTCTCATCACCTCCAGTTCCTTGTCAGTTAACACGCGTCTCTTCAGTCTCGCTGGAATATCAATGGAATTTATTTATTTTTATTACATGAGTCGATCAACGGGCCGTGGTTCCCCGCTGCACCGAGTCGAAGAAAAATCGTTGAGAACACTTCGTTTAGAATGTTTGTTTTACTCGTGGTATTAAAATAGAATTTCGAGGAATCCTTCGCTTTTACAATTTTTATCATAAATGGTAGAAATTCGTTGATAGCTTGAAATCATTCTTAATTTGCTATTGATAGTCTAGAAGTCTAGATAATATTGCACAGCTTTTTTTGTAATGAAAAGATCTGAAAAACAAGAAAAACCTTTTCCTCATGTCTATCTCTTGTGACAAATGATATGACGAATAATTACTCCGACATTCATCACTTCTATCTTCCAACACGTCATCCTCGATGTTGCATTATGCAAATTAGCGGAGCATTTGTTATCAAAGACAAAGCGAGTTATTATCATAGGTTGACGTGGTTATTATTCCTTCTGCAAATTTATTTAATACTCACGCCTGGGTTCAGCCTCAATAACGCTGTCCAGGAAGTCCTGAGGCGTCATATACAGTTGCCCGTCGTATTCCACCGATGCAAATTTTATAAATCTTCGTTCCCTCATCGTCAGCTTTACTGCCTTCTGTCCCTCTTCTTCTTTCTATACGACGATAGATAAAGAATTTAAGATTAACAATTTTAAAAAGTTTCTAATGCGTTGAGATAGCTTTTTATTCAAATTAAGGAGGCATTTAAAATTCTTAAAATTTTATGGTAAGAATGATTGACATTGATAAAACATAAGTTCTGTTAAGTACATTTTCCTTCAGCTTGTTATCTTCGAAACGACAGGTGCTTGTATTATTTACGAGATACTTGGGACATGTATTATTTATAAGGAAGTCGTAAATTACAATTTTTTTAGAAAATTTTAATTCATCACATTCTCTGCGACATGCAAGTAAATACTAAACTTCAATTATAGTATTGAAATAATTTTATATCTTAAATTGTAATTTGTTTAGCTGCATAGATAAAAGAGAGATAGTACTTGTTCGTATAGATAAAGAATCAATTCTAATCCGAAGATACAATGCACATTGCCTTTGTCATAGTCGTGTGATACGATATTACTTCAGGGAAAAGATCATCTACCGCCCACCGCGATTCTGAATTTATTTGCATAATACGCTATTACCCGAGAGCATTACAAACCGTCGAATCCCCTGCAATTTAATAGCAACATCCAATTCAAGCCTGACATTAAACATCCGTACGTGTAGTAATATAACACGGCAAAAGTTTGCATATTTATGTATATATATATTTCATCAAACTTAATAAGAAAATTCTTCATTCATTGAATCGTTAGAACATTTTATCGATATCAAGTGTCGGAATATTTAGCTAAACTAACTTGAAATATTAGCCATAAATATTTTTCTAATTTTCTTTGTGTCGTAGAGAATTCCGACACGCTATAAAAATGGTGTCTATTCAAGCTAGACACGGTGCCATTGTCGAGGTGAACAAACTATCGATACGTTTAGAACGCGACTATGAAAGATTGTCGAATTTTTAGAAGGGCGAGGCCCTTTTGTGTCCAGCTTCCTTCGTGGGAGCCTGTACGCCCACTTCGCTGTCCGATTACTCTCCTCCTACCTGTCTGCTTACCCACTGACCAGGCAATATGTGTATTTCGCGGCGTAAGCTGCAGTTAAGCCTTAAAAGATATGCGCGCGGGACTCGTGTAACGACGCGAATTTGCGATCTCGACGGTGTAGATTGAATCGTTCGTTCCGAGGCACGCGAAATTACTAGAAGCATGGGATCTTCGTTTCAAGAATCACGATTCAGAATTATTATTATATTTCCTATTAAGACTTTTCTAACACTCGTGTTGATAATAGTTTTACGACGTATTAGTTTTCATCTATTCTATAGTTTTAGATGATTTTTTAGTTAAACAAGAATTAAATTGATATATTATTTGTTCTTATATAAAAATATCGTGTTACTTCTTTTTACTGCGAAATTATATTACTCGTTCCAATCAGTCAATATCAAGATTCCCATTCATCAATCATTCTTTACAAACATCCTCCCTCGCAATTTAAATGACAATGACTGCGCGGCATTACCGTGCGTATTAACATCGTCATTACGTCGTATGCTTATCATTATCCGCGTCAAAATTCGTGCGAAAGTCAGCGTCGCCGGGGCGATCGGTGTGCAGTGTCATCCTCAACGATCCGCGGTAGTCCTGAATACATTTTGCATAAGCGCCACCACCGTAATCGGATACGACGTCTCTCGCGAAACCCTCGACTGTAAATCAGTTTTTTTTTTCACGATAAATCGTTTCCACAATGGCTCGCACTTGTAATAACTGCTTCCTGTTACCGATCAAGATTACCCGTTGAACTAACTTGTATATAGATTCATGTAGATACAAGGGCAGGAAACTCGCGCGGTCTTCTACTTTCTTTTTTTTCCTTCCTAAGAAACAAGAGCATCGAGCGTAAAATTAAAGAAATAAAATTGCCATCGATAATTCAACCACCTGTTACGCGAAACCATAAAAAGACCCTGTTTTTTTTTCTGCAACTATGTATGTTTAAGAGATAATCGCATTTTAAAGAAAATCATTTTATTGCCGAGGAATCCGGCTTATCGACTCGGATGATCGTTCGGCTCGGGGAGAATAACGACGTATGAAACGCTGCTTTTATTAATTTTTACTCTTCTCGCTCCACGAGATTTATAGTCGTCCATAAGTGTATAAATATACTTATCGACGATAATTTCAGTGAACAAATAGTAAAACGAAACTTGGCATTTCAATTGGGGTTTCTAAGGTCTGGTAGGAAAATTTGATTTATAACTTAAGTTCAAGTACGATCGTTTATTAATTCGAAGTAGACGAAGACGTGAGTAAAATAGGGAATTGACACGAGCTTCCAATCGTAACGTTGATTCGTGATTCACGCACGGTTGTTGAGACGTTGCTGGGAATCCTAACATACGCTGACGTTTAACACGTTTCCGTAAACCTCTTTTACTGCCTGAGAAGCAACCGTGCTATCGACAAACGTTAAACTTTAAAAGGAAGGATTACACAATCGAGAGTGCTTCTTCGCCAACGACAACTTTCCCAGGAGTACCGGCTCCGATCGCGACCCACCTATTCCATAAACGACACTAATTCATTTCTGGAATGTTTAAATTAAAAACGCTTCGGTTTCGTCCGGTGTAACTTTGTAATTAAACCGACGACTCGAAAGTTACACAGATTTACTATCTGTGATCCTCTGCGTGCATCCGAGACAAAAGGAAGAGCACGGTTTCCTGCTGCACAGTTCTTTCTCCAAACCGTGTTAATCTCTGGCCAAGGACGACGATGGGACCGAGTCGAACGGTTCTTACGAAATCAGCACCGGGTCCGTCGTATCCGGGGACACGATCTCACGATTCCTCGTCCAGGGATCACGCAGAGGCCTGACGTCCTCCGCGTTTAGGGGAAAGATATTTCCGCGAGAATGAATTTACGCCGCGTAGAACACCCATAAATCGGCTCGTTTTCTTTTCCGTGGTTAATGCGCGCGGCGCCCGGCGATTTATGGGATACCAAACGCCGTTAGGTCTAATCTTCTCGTTAGGAGGAGAGGTACCGAAAAAGTTGAGAAGGTGCCGGCGCCCCTTTGTACAAATTGCTACCGGGTGAACCGGGAAGACCACCGTCGTTCCCGAAATTGGGCCTCGTGTTACGTGGTCAGATAAATGAAATTCCTCGTCTGTTTTTATACCCCGGGCCTTGGCGAACACGTTCGAGAGGTAGCGCGCGCCATAGTCAGCCTGTCCATGGAACGAGACATCCATCTTCGCGTCGTTTGTACGACTCGGTCCTAGAATCATGCTTGAATTTCACTGATTTTATTCCGTGGGTCAGCGCCGCTGTCCCACGTGAAAGTGAGTCCTGAGATCTTATCTATCGGTGATTTATAGAAATCCTGCGGATCGCTAGTATTGTTCGATCGCGTTAATAAATTCGTAAACGCCTATTTGCTAGTTGCAGTCTGCGTCGCGATATATCCTCGGAACAGAGAGAGACTTTTATCGTAACAAGATATACCGCAGTTCTATTTATCCAAAAGAAAGTTCAACCCAGGGGAAAATGAATGGGTTTAATCTCGTAAGAAAGAAGTAGCGACAGTAGGTCGATGTTTACAAGCTTCGCGTGAATTGATTTCTTGTACAAGCTACACTGATTTATGTACTTCTTTCCCGATGAGGTGCACTGATCAAACTTTAACTACTCTCTCGGATCGATTTTTTTTCTTGTACACTTAGATAACTGGTTCCTTACACGTTTTTTTCAAAATCGATTATAATGCCTGTCTTTTTCGAGGCTGACGATTATATGGATGCTACCAGGATGAGCCGTGGTGTTAATTCAACCACGGCTAATCAATATTCCGGGCAAGTTCGTCCGTATCTTCGTAGATGCGTGATGCCGCGTTGACTAACGTCTGTTGGCACGTCGCCTTGCGTGTCTACCGATGTCCGAAGCGGCGTTAGGCCGGCATGTTAGCGGTCCAGTGTAATGACAGGCGCGATGAACATTATGCTAAGTGCGAGGCATTCGACTTCTTTTTCTACCCCTGGGCTACCCCCGGGGATTCCTCTTTTTTCCTCGATACGCTGACGGGCTACGTGCCGCGATTAAGGTCCGTTTCATCTGCGCTCGTAAACGCCCGCCACGTTTTTGACCTCACGCCGCGGTCCGTTCGTGCCTGGTTTAGGTTCGACGGTTTCAATAAAGGAACACGCGACGCGTCAGTTTCCTCTAGCAACAACAATTTTCTCCGAGCCCGGTTAAACAGATAGCCAGCAGAAACGATCGGTATCTAAAATGCTTTGGCACATGGAATTCAGCTGTCGATTTTTAACCTGTTGATGTTAGGATAGTACCAGGGGCGATGCTTTTCGAGTACCTCGTTACGTGTACACGACTTCCAGCCTGTCGTGTATTCTATCAATAACTCAGTTAACATATACTCAACGTCGTCGGTTTACTGTACAGAGGCAGAGCAAGACGATGTAAAAATGCGTACGATGAAACATTTAATACTTTAAGCATCGTGGATAGCCGTTCGTTTACCTAATATCAATTTAATTATCGGTATTCAACAGTGATTATTAGAGTCTTTAGAAAATACACAACAATTTGTTTGACGATTTAAGTTTGTATTGGCTATACAGTCAATCCGAAAAGTTTATGTACCTTAGAAAAACGCATTTCCTATAATTAAAAAGAAATCAGGCGTCGGAAGAATAATGCTAATAATAAATAGCTACGTGCTAAAAAGTATAGAAGGAAATATCCAATTAAGTATTGACGCTGACGAAAATTTTTTCTTTTCAAAATTGCGAGAAATGCTTGAAATACAAGTTGTTTTCCTTCTAACTTCGATATTTAACGAGTTACGCATGATTATTTGGCATTTTATTGATGTTGCCTTAAATCGATATCAGGTCCTCCTACGAACTCTTTATATCGAAATTCGTAATAACTCGATGCGTATCGCGTGTGGCTTGTTTTCTTCTCGTTGAGAATGCGTACCGGTAATCAGGCATGGTCAAATGTTTACGCGGACGGTTGAAAATGAAAGGTGTACGAGTCGGTCGGGCGAACCACGTGGACGGCAAACACCTGCTTACTATCGATGTACTAATGCGCGCGGCTCGCCATGGCGCATAATAAAACACTGATTACAGATCTTACGTCGAAGCACGGTGGCGCCGAGATTACTGCAGGAAATTGAAATCAGATAACAGGCTAGCAGCGTCCAACGGGTACCCCTCGCTTTCGCTGGCTCCGCTTATTTGCATATGCATGTTTGGATAAAAGGGAACTTTCATTGTCGAATCTTCACTGCGCTCTGCCGTAGATACGCTGCGATTAATGGCGATAATGATCGGCTAATTAGAGAATCAGATCGATATCGAATCTATCTCGAAAGTCTTCCTATCGGCTTGTGAAAAGAGAAATGATTCTTCGTTTCTATGTGTAGAACTGCAATTCGTGTCAGAAGAACTTTTTTGAGGGACGAGGAGTAATAATAGAAAGGGATACGGAGTCGTGTGAGATTTTATTATCCTAAGCTACGTAACAATCTAAGCCGTAGCTGATTGAAAACGTGTTTCGTCGGATAATCCGGAGGTGCTTTGGTGAGAAAGGGTACGAGAGAGGTCATCGATCAGCATCGACGGTCTCGTAAAACAGTTCGCGGTTCACTGAATCACAGTTGCCACGGTAAACTAATGAACTCGGGATCAGATTTATAGCCGCGTAAACACGACTCGGTGGTCTAAACGATTCTAACGGAGTTAACGATTCCGGCAGGGTGAGTTTGATCAATTACGAAAACGCCTTCGCTACGTAACTAATTTAATTTATTCATATTTAAAAAATAAAAATAAATGTCAGAATAGCGTTTTATAAATACTAAATTCAGGATCTGAGGGGATAAGATTGGGAGTAGGTAAAGAATAGGAAACACTGTAATTTGAAATATGTTCATGTATATTTAAGAACAAACAGAATCTAGTAAAAGATCGTTTTTAAACAGTATTTTAATCTACTCAAACTTGTAAGAAACAGGGTGTCTTAAAATATCCCTTTTCCGGTGTTTGAAGAGCTGAGTAGTCGGTCTTGACTTTGTGATCAGTCTCTTAGGAAATTGTACCATTCCATGGACGCTATCTACCCTCCGATCGTTCATCGTATCTTTCAATAATCAATTCCCTACCAGCAGTAAAGAATGTAATCGTACGCAGATAGCTCGAAGGCGGATGCCAAATGTGTAGTACTAACTCAGCTCGTGGATAATCGAGATCAGGTGTGCCTCGCGATATATAACACGTTCGACGAGCACAGGCACCATGGAAAAGCGTTATCGCGCGAAAAACCATGATTTACGCCTGGTCGATTTCGTTCCTAATTCCGTGCGCGCGCGCTCTATAAATTCAAACGCGATAGCCGCGTATTATCGTCGGATTAAACAGCCGATCATGGCAGATGGAAAACTGAATTACAAGAATAGATTTGCGCATTGCGGGGCCACAAATCGAGTTCTTACCGTCGGGGGTAGTTCCGGTATCGATCGCGTTTCGATCATTCGCATTCCGCGGCGATGACTCGCGTAACACGCGATATGTAAATAAGTATTATGGAAAGGGATGAACGAAGGAGCAGTCGGCTAACGGTTTCCACGATGACTCGCATCGCGTACTATTATCGTCCGACTGGATGATACGGTTCGCGCGTTACTTTCTCGCATCTCCTGGAGCCATGTTTCGCGTTATCGTCGGATAACGTATTCGTCGATCGTTGTACGACCGCGATGCTGAAACGGTCGCGAGCAAGGATAAACGATGCGGTCGAATCTCGGACGCGATAACGGCTGCCAGTCCGGCCGCGGGATGCCTGCCTCGTGATTTGTAACCGCGCCGCTCCTCGGACCGAGCACAGATCTCCCTGCACTTGTTCGCGCTAGCTGGCTAGGCCCAAGGACGATCCGTGTCTGCGCGGGAACACGTCACGGGGGACCGTGTTACATTGTCGCGTTAACGGGTCGTTTCTTCTTGCATCGTTTCGCTGGTTTGCAAGCCATTTGAAACTGGGAACTATATTAAGTTGTTCGCGGCTCGAGACAGTGTTCCCAGTAGGAATCACATGCAAGACGATTATGGTTTCTATTAAATTGTTCGGAGGATGGAAATGAGTACAGGGGTATGAAACGTGTTCGCATGCACTCAGGTTTTTTTCGATTAAGTTTTCCTGTTAGTCTTTATTATACTTTTTGTCGTCGTCGTGGAGAGTTGCTTCGAATTGCATGCGTTCTAGATAATGTGAAACAGAAGTAGAATGTCACATTGATCTAATCTGAAAAGTTCAATCTACAGTCTTTAATTGATTCGCTGTGTCGCATTGCGTATTGCCAGTTTTTATGGATATAGAAGTTATAAGATAACAGGAATTATATAATAAAATTTAAGATCAGTTTAACTATTTCATTTCTTTTATTATAAAATAATTAATTGGAATATAAGCTGACGAAATTCTATTAAAAATCAAGATCATATCTCATGCTAAGAATTCTTGGTTTAATCGATGACCTTTACGTTTCGGGCGACTTTCACGTTTCTTATAAACGTATACTACATGAAATAAGGAAGAGACACTTTTTCTACACGCACCTTTCTAGCCTTGGCATGAACCATGTCAGGTCTCGAGTATTTGTAGCCGACGAGGAACGCGATAGAAACTGCCGCGACTAATCCAGCGTTGTTTCTCCATTTTTTCACTTCTCTGCCACTGCACCACGAATTGTACGAACGTGTGACAGCGCGAAAATGCCGTGACGACGAAGACACTCGACAAGGCAACCTCATCAGGTTCGCCATGTTCAATGCAGATGACAGGAATACGCGCAAGCGCTGTATATGTGCCTCTTCGGCAAACCTTCCGCGCGTGCTACGAATTCAACATTCTTCGCGATTTAAAATTAGTTAAATCATTAAAAATTTCGATCTATTTGGTACCTTTATGGATTCTATCGACCGCATTTTTACTTCCTTGTAATTCATTTCTTAGAGATTTAGAGTTATAGCCGAAAGTGTTTTGATGATCAGCGTGTTTTTTGTAATCTCATGAAGATTACTTCGAAGATGTAACTTGTATCGTCCACAGAATTCATTATTCCGTTATTCTATTTAGGATGAGCTGGGTAGTTTTATTGGATTCCGAGGGAATAGACGAAATTATCATGGAAACTAAATAAAAGATCGTACTGGCATCAATTAACTGGTTTAGAGTCAGAATAATAATGATACAGTGCTGATACATAATTCAGGAGAATTTTGGGGATGCGTGAATTCTCCTATAAATTCGCTTTTCAATCGTTTATACGGAAAATAAGAAAATACGTGGTACGGTGACCGGTGAAATTAGTGCGACGAGAATAGCACCGCGGATAAACTAAACGCAGCGTTCGAAGGGCGTTATGTAACGAAACGGTCTTCACCCACGACACACCAGGCCACCGTGTGACGCAACGGCGAGTAGTGCCGTTCACGACAGCTAAAATTGTTGCGGGTTAATGCGCGAACATTCTTGCTACTGGTTATCCTGCCAGCAGTCGCGTCTGACGTTTATTAACCGGGACTACCTGCTTTCTTCCTCCTGGTCGCATTATTTATAAATGCACCCTGCCGCTGGAAAGGAGCGCCCGAGACGATCTTCTGCAATCTTTCCCCTTTCTTGTTGGTGAAAACGCGGAACGGTTCGGTTGTAATTGAGACCGACTCGAGACTCCGGCACGATCTCGGCTTTTATTCCTTCTGTTTAACGACTGGATCTATGAAAGATGAGCGCGAGTATTATGGGAGAGGATTTCTGATGGGAGAGTAGTCGCTTTATTCGCCGGAGATGAATATGCCTTTTGATACGTCTCTGATAAGAAATAGAGCTTACCCGAAGCTGAAACTTCTTAGCTTTTTGATAAGTCTATTTGCTCATTCACTACTGTGCTTCAGCGTGATTCGTTTCCACTTAATGCAAAGATAATGAAAATTATATATCCAGTTGGAATAGCTGTATAATTCTATGGTATATCCTACCTATTTTCAACTCAGCGAATTTTAATGAAACGATTTTATAAGCTTATAAATGGATTTAAATACTCGCTCCTTGCCACCATACGATTTTTAGTCTCAGTACTGAAATTAATGTCAATCGTTTATACGTGTCAGTTAAAGTGATTGTGGTAATTAATGTCAGCAATTAATAGTATAGTTACATCAATCTTATTTATATGCTGATGGCGGCACGGCGATGCATCATACCGGCGCAGCTGAGAATTCATAATAATTTTGCAATGAGCTATCGGCTTCAGCTACCCCGAGGGACATTACAAACTCGGCTCGTGTGTTTATAATTTTTCATATGATTTATCGAGCATTTTCGCACATTCGCGGCATACCAAATGAACTTTATTTTGAGAGTAATTTCGCACGTTGATTCTGTGGAAAGATAACTGCCTGCAATCTAAAATAATTTTCAATTTGCTCAGTTCAAATAAGTTCAATACGTTTATTATTTTTACATTTACAAACGAATAATCTGATTTTCACCTTTACAGGATATTTAATATTCTACCCAATGCCTTGATATTTGTCTGTACTGCGAAGAAAATATTTGCAAGTAAATATTAAGTAATTCCGCGTTGCAACCTGTTAATATTTAAGAACGAGTAACCGGTTCTCGAAACGACATCACCTGCTATCATAATTGTAAACATTTTTCAATCAAATAGAAGCAACAAAATAATAGCCGAGGCTTGCGAATTAATTAAATCGGTAGAACAAAAAGTTTATAAACATCGATTACTAATTGGAGGCATCCATTTATCTCACTGTCCCTGCGATTCTTAGTGCGAGCTGACATTCAGAAAAGAAGGAAATCTACGGATTCTCCGAGCGTTCGTCGGCTGCGCTCCGCATACCTGCCGCTGCTGGCACGTTCGCGAAAAAAGGACGATAGCTCGGCGCATGCAGGTCTCCGTGGCTGCAACAGAACGAGAAAAAAGGAAGTTGTCATTACCTCCCCGGTTCGTAAGCGTGATCGTTCTTCAGGGCCGTCGATCAACCAGAAAAGAGAGCAACCTCACTGTATCTTGCCGCTGTTTCTGCCACCACCGTCGCGGTACTTAATTCTTTCCAGGTCACCGCGGCTGAAACAGTAAAGGACAGTCGTCTCGTTAATCCGCGTTTACGCAGGAACGTAATTATTCCCCCGTCACTTCGCCTTTGAGTCGGCTCGTTCTTCCGAGGAACTTAACGTCGTTCAGTTAGGGTCGCCTCGGTTTTCCGGCCGGGGAAAAGTTCATTTCGCTCCGTGCCGCAGCTGCCTGCGTATTAATAGTCCTTTAATCGCGCAGAAAGAAAGAGACGGATGATCTTGCGTCGGTTCGAAGGAAAGTCGTCTAGTTAGGAATTACGGGTTGCACCCGCGGCACTTGGCTTCCTCGAGCGGAGCAGCTCCCAGTCGCGCATCCGCCAGGGCTATCGTCTCTCTGATCTACGCTTATTTGAATAATTGAACCCGACCTGGCTAGCCAGCGGATGATGTCTAAAACAAGCGAGTAAGAACCGCCGACTTCGTCTTCGTTACGAGGAAGGTGTTCATCCGGGTGGTACCCTTCTCTCGCGATCGCGACGGTGACACCAATAATTCCGACAACGCCATCGGCGATAGATATCTTTCTAATGTATTTTAGAAAATACAATAAAACTGACAGTAATGACACCCGTGCGGGCATTCAGTGCCCGTTAATAACTTGATCGGAAAACCATCCGTGTACCGAGTAGGCGCAGGTTATTCAAGCGTATTGATCCAATAAGCCGATGTCTGCTTTAATTTGATCGGAACTGATAATCAGCGGCTCGATCAGCTTGTCCTTTCATCTCCCATATATATGGGTAATGCATTATTTAAAAAACGTGATTCAATCTCAGATTCATGCTTCAATTACCTATCAATTAAAAAAATATTGACTTTTCTAAATTTCGTTCAACTGATACGATAGGAATTTAGTTAGTATGATTGTAAAATGGTTCTGAATGCAAGTTCGAGGCATCGTCGCAGTATAAGAAAGAACAGTAGGTTCACTGCGTTACAAAGACTAATAATTGACTGCGACGTCTACTCGCATTTTCTTTTATGTCTTACTCTATCCCTTCTCTTCTTCATTTTATCATATTTTTTTCTTCTTCAATGCAAATATAAGTGTCTTCTCTTTCAACGAAACTCGTTTTGTTATACTATGGAAACCATCAATTAACCGGGTAATGGTCTTGCAATTACTGTCTAATCAGCCTCTCCTGTCTGTTGTGGGATTGTATATTATAAAAGTCGACTAATTGGTGCTATTCCGACAGCTCAGCATTTAAGAGTCTCCAATTTAATTTCGCGTTGTCTGGAAACTTGCAACTGCTGCACTCAACCTAGTGGAATTATTCTTACATCCTAAAAAAAAAACAATTGACTTACCTGTTAAGTAGAGGAATCGTAATTTCTATTTAAAGTAGGCAATTTAGATGAAATTAATTGTCTCAGCCACTGAAGAGAGGATGTATTGAAGTAAATAACTAGATCGTATTATACTCAATAATATCTTCTTTATTATTTCTAAAAATTATATGGCGACGGTGTGCTAGGATTCTGCGTCGAAGGAACGAGAGAGAGGACAGGGGAACGACACGATTTTAAAAGTTCATTTTTCTCTATTTTTCACGAAATTATTTCCACGAATCAGAGGCACAAACAGGAACGATCTCGTGGTCTGCTCTCTTATTCTCAGTTCTTCTCCCGTCGCTCTCGAAAACAATGGGAAACGGGACAACAGTGGAAAAGGAGATTTTCTTAATGGTCATCACACGGTTACGTTGATAACGAGTGATTAAATAGGTTTTAACTTGTTTATCTCATTGTCTTTTACGTCTACCACGGATTTTTAATCTTAACAATTAAATTTGCTCTTTATTTTCTCTTCGTATAAACTTAGCGGTTTCAGTCTCTGTGTGAATTAAATACGTACAGCGTGAAATTGGCGATGCGGCGACGGACCAATTCTTCGTGGAGATGTTCTGAAAAAAATGGATCGCTGGAACATTCGTCTCCGTGCTTGTGATTGCTCTCTCGTTCCTATCCTTGTTCCTCGCGCAACTTCCGGAATACATACGTGCAGCGAAACGTCAAATACTGATTCTCTGTTTGACTACAACCGCTCAGTTCTCGTATAATTAATAGATGAACTTAATTTAATTATCTCCCTCCTTAAGCTTAGAATACACAAAATAAAATCGCTCCGAGAGTTCCATGACTATGACCAAAAAACTGCTGCTACCGACGGTAAAAATTAACGCCATAACGCATACAAAATTCATCTCCGAATTTATTTTTCCAATATAATTTAACTTACGATAATAGTACTTTCGTTTACGTATACCATTTCCTTTCTTTTTGTTCTAATTAGGTTTTGTTAATTAATTTCTGCCCGATTAGGCGTGTCGAATATGATACGTTATACGAGCACAATGAAATAATACATCGGTACGGGTATCGATTGTTTTCCGTTTGCTTTCCTTTATTGCGATTTTCTATACGATTACAATGTATGTGTAAACACACTCGCATCGCTTGATTCTTTTATTGGTCTCTTTTTCGAATGACGTGCACAGAAACGAAATCGCTCTCTCAGGGGATAATTCGCTTGCCTCTACCATCGGAACATAGATCGCATCGTATTTTTTTTTTTAAACAAACGTCGCTTTCTTTTTTTATTGTCTCTCGTTTAACGGACTCGTACAGTCCATGCGCGCTTACAACATCGTTTACTACAAATTGTCTTTTTACCTCTAATCCCGACGTACTGCTCGTCGTCTCATTCGCCAAAATACACGCATACTTTATTACAATTGCGGCGGCACGGAACTCGCCAAAAATATCAGCGTTCCACTTTATTTACGTGATTGCTTAGTCTTCTTTTAAGTTTGTGTTACACGTACAGCAATGTGTGTATGGACGTGGTGAAAAATCGATCGCTTTAAGAACATCCTAAATTCTACGAAAAAACCGAACAGGTTTATCTTTACATTTTTTCGTTAATACGGGAAAGCTCGTAGAATAGGATTCATTTTTCTTTAAAGAGAAAATTGGGAACAGAATGTGTTTCGCATTTTGATGGAAGCTAGTACGGAAGCATTTTCCCTGGCAATTTAGGGAAGCTGAAACGTACTGCATGTTATCATCTGGAAATGGGAATTAAAGTGGTTTTATTCGTTACGAGCAAAGCGGTCCAATTTCAGTTCCGCCGGAAGCAATGGCCGGACTTTGCCAGTGACTATTATTAGATAGGTTGCGTAACCGTTGCGACACTTGGGAAAAATGTTCCCTAGCTGATAAGCGCGGAGCACCTAGGTCAAGAAGGAAATTTCATTTGTTCCAGATAAGACATTGGGTTAAGCACTTCCAAACCCTTTGACTCTGTTTTATTTAAAAGAAAAAACAGTAGGAAGGGTCTTATACATCAATAAAAGAAATTTCACACGACGATTATTCGATTTATAAATGTAGGAACATTTTGGAAAATTAATAAAGTAAGGGGCTCGCTGTTTTTGACGAATTCTCGTGCCGAAGGATAGACGCAACATACGAAGAACACATGATCGATGCGCATGATTGATGAGTAATGATCGTAGATCTATGTACACGGAGTCAACTGTTTAATAAATAAATCTTTAATAAATATACTACTAGATTAATAGGTAAATGAACTACAAAGTTTCGTAGCGAGGTCAAGATATTTCTGGTGGACGCATTCAAAAATCCTTAATCGAGATTTAAGGAGACGTTGGACACGATACAGAATCACTTCCAGTTCTCTCTCTCTCTCTCTCTCTCTCTCTCTCTCTCCCGACTTCTCTTTTTAAAATTACTTCCTATCTCTCGTCGCGGTATCAAATAGTCAACCAGGGCGATCAAATTCTAAGCAACGAACACTTTTACAAATTGCAAACTATCTGATCGCCTATACATACGTGTAAGCTCATTTAGATTTTATTCTTCACTACATTTAAGTATACGAAAAAGGCAGTGTCTCCTAGGAAAATGCACAAAAATACTTCTCCATTATTGCCATTCGATTAGCACGAAGTTTCATACGTTGCGAGGTTTGTACCTACCAATATTTAGGATCGTCCTCAATTTTCCGTAATCTCTGCTTAGAACGAGCAATAAATAATTTACAAACCACTCTTTGGGCGTTATCTATCTCTCTCGTGGAAGTTAAATTACAAAAAGAAAATGAACACAATATTTTTAAAACGACTCTAGCGTACATACCATTTTAATAGATAATATATTATTTTTAATCATATACCAAGATTCTCTTTCCGAACGATGTAAAACTAAACATCTTTATCATTCGTAAACGTATAAATCTCGTTCGCATAATTTGTAATCGTTCTCGTAAGCCTATCGATCGCGAGTTACAAATTTTTGGCTCTCGGGTGTTGCCCTTGTTAGAATACATTAATTATTCATCTTAAACGTTAACTTTATCAAATATCTCTATAACAGTTTAATACTTTTCTCTTTCTCAGTATAATTTAATACTTAAAAATTCTCTTTAGAACCATACAAAATTATTCCTCACTCTGTGATGTTCGAATCATTCCTCTACACTATTATTGCTCTCATTTAAATACACACGCTTTCCTATTATTCGCAACAGGCAGTCTAATGATTCCAATGAACATCGTCCACGTGTACGAATATCGTTACGTACTTATCAGGAGCCAATTTTCTTTTATTCTAAGAAGAACAGGAACATGACACTCGAATCGTTCTCCGACGACGCGAAAGGATCGTCTAATTTGTCTCGCGCGACAAATCACCGCGAGAAATCGTTAACAACGTATTCATTCGTGTCGTGTCCGTGATAAATTGATCGCGCAATTCCTAGTCGCAAGCTTCTAGATCTAATCGTCTCCTTAGTTCTCTAGATTTTCTACGTTTTATATTACGTGATACACATTACCTTTATCCTCTCTCAGCGGTGTCTCGGTCGTTGTTCGTCGAACGCTAGCGTTGTTGCAAATGTTCCATCCCTCTGGTCAGATATCGCGTATTGTCTCGTTTCTCCTGCTCCTCGCTCTCCGATATTGCTATCATTACTTTTCTTTCTTACTCCGAGTCGCTCGCCGCGCTAATTAGGACAAATCGTTTCGTCGATGCAATGTACAAGGTGTCTCCCCTGCGGCGTGCAGTGGAACGGACACAAAGGCCGGTGGCGATAAGATAGACTCTTTAGTATAAGCTAACGCGGCGTACATTCATGACTCGTGTTTAAAAAAGGAACAGAATCGTTTTCAAGGTTTACAATTTTATGAGACATCCTAGAAATAGTCAAAGACCGCGTCTCATCTTCCGCTAGTCGAAACACCGCGGCGAATGCTTCATGCGCACGCAATCGTCGTACGTGAAGTATGCGTATGCTGTTGATCGTGTCGTAACGTAATCGCTATGTACAAGTTTACAATGATTCCCGTGGGAGGCGACCGAGCCCGGAGGCGAACGTGTGCACGCCTCACATAGCCAGTCTCTCGATCGGTATCCCCGGGGTGGTCGACAGCGTGGTATCCGGCGTGTCGAACATTTCGCTATCGTCGGTGTCGTCGACGTTCTCCACCGACCTGTTCTCCTCCTCGACCAACCTAAGAGTGGTCGCCGTCGCGGCGCCGGCTTCGGTCGAGGCGGCGAACGTCGGATCGATCGTGGTGATCGCGTGTTCGATCGAAAAAGTCGAGGACGAGTCTTCGTCGACGGACAGGGATTCGGATAACGTACTCGACAGGCCCTCTTCCTCGATTTTCGGTAATTCAACGGAGAGGGTACTAGAGTCTTGGTAGGATCGTTCGGAAACGGTTTCAGGAACTTTAACGGTCACCGACTGGACCGAGGTTCGATCGAGCACGACGGCGGTCGTGGTCGTCTCGTGCGCGCCAGCGACTCGGCCTATCGTCCTCGTACGATTTCTGCCAAACGATTTGCCTACTCTGCGAGGGCCCGTGTTCGAGCCAAGGGGCACGCTCTTTGGGGAGGAAGACGGTTTGGTCCTGCGCCTAGGCGAGCCTCCTCTCCCTGAAGGGACGGTTGACGCACCAGGATACCACCAAGAAGAGGAGGACGTTCCGGAGGTCGGTACGGAGGTTGCCGTGGGCACCGCAGACGTGTTGTCCACTCGGCCAGGCGTGAACCTCTTCCGGGGCAGAGGTACCGCTGCCGGGTTCCTCCTCGCTGACGGCTCCTTCTTCCTTCTCTTCTTCCCATCCGTCAAATTAGGCTTTTTACTTTGACTCATGCTGCCAGCGGCGTTTACTTTTTTTGCGTTTGACGCTGGTGCTTTGCTCTTACCGTTGCTGCTGCTCGCGGTGACATTCCTGCGGCCAGCTGCGGACGTTCCATCGCCCCCCGCGGCCTCCTCCTCGACCCGTAGCTTCCGTTTCTTAGACGGGACCGAAAGAGCCTCTCTTCGGCAAGCCTCCTCGCTCGCCGCGCCTTCGCAGGATCTCTTCGACTCAGGGGACGTCCCGTTCGTACCCGGACCTTCGTTTCCAACGGGAACCAGTGGCCCACCGTTGCCGTCCTCGGTCGTTTGGCACTGCGGACCTGGCTTCTCGCCCGGTCTGCACTTCCGCTTCCTCTTCTTTCGTTTCTTACGCTTGCGACACCTGAACTTGTCTCTGCCGTCCTTTTCTTGCGCCGGAAGAGTGGGACAGAGCGACTGTTGCAGCAGATCGCCGCGATGACTGTTGTGTCGATGACGGACGTTATGTTTGGCACCGAGCAGTCGCCTCTGAAGTGCCTCCACCCGGTCCAGAGGTGCTACCTGGGTCAACACCCTGGCGTAGGCGGATAGTCGGCCGAGGTTGTGACCCTTGGCCTGTACCCTCCTCGGCTGGCCACGGCGATTCAACCCTAAGTAAAGTGTCTTCTTCGCCGTGGACCATTTCGCAGAACTGTACGTGTTGTAGTTGTGCTGCTCGAGGGTCTCGTTGAACACGCAGTCGTCCGTGTACTCACGCTGAAACGAGATATTAAAAGAAAGTTAGTTATTGCCAATCACATTAGATTTACAAGATCTTTTGGTTCTCGCGTTTAAGTATTATACGCGTCATATTCACGTCGTTACGTCCCCGTGGTAAAATCTAAAATAATTCGAGCGCATCAACCTTTCAATTTCCCTTGTGAGCCAATGCTTTAAAAAGCAGTAATCAGGAACATAGAAATTAGCCAGACAATAACCGAGGTCTAATAGCTAACCGAGAAACGCACGCATTTGCAGCGGAATGGGTAATGGTCGAAAAAATCCCGGTACGATTATTACGCGCGGCACACCGGTCGCAGAGTTTCCCCCGTTTCCAGGAAACGGCCGAGCAACTCGGCGATCGTTATCAGTGACGTGGTCCAATTACTCGTCATTATCACATTGTAATTGCGCGCGGCCCTGGCAGGCACCGAGCCTCGCTGTCCCCTCCGTTTAGCCGGCAATTTTCTGTTCGGCCGCGAAACGGGGCTAACGCGGGGTGAAATATTAACGACGCTTCCCGACGCGAAGGTAAATGAGCATCGGGCATAACGCGGAACCAGCCGGACCGGCGCGGCCGGCCGCGGCAGACGGGCTTGACGGCCGCACACTGAGCATTATGTTTTCGCCGGCATTACGCCGCGCTGTGATTTCGCTGTCCGGCTTTATGGTAACTCGTTTCTAGACGAGCGGAAGCGGCCGCGCTCTTCATCGGCTCTAATTACAGCGTTTATCCACTGCGTTTATACGCTTCGGAAAAATCTCGGCGATGCCTCTTTTCTCGCGACTGCAAAGATTGCGCGCGAATGGAAAAAACTTTATGAGACCGAAAACGCGCTGTCACGTTAATTCATATCGTTTTCGAATGATTCCTCTGAGGTGATCGCTACTGACTTTTTCAACGAGTTTTATCGCATTTCGCATACTTTTGAACTACTCAGTTTAAATTATGATCTACCCAAAATAGTATAGGTAAGGCGGATGAAACTATCTATAAAGAAATTTATTATTGGAAGCCAATGGGATTGTTAACCAGAGGTGGCAGCTCGATTCGATAAGAAGCAATGATTCTGTGTCGTCAATTAGCTGCACGAGCCGCGCTTCGTGGTTATTGAGTCGTAACGTTCAACGGACGTGGGTGGAATCCAACTTTTACGACTGTTCTTTAGAAACGGAAGCGTCGTAAAGTCGGGGATTCCCGAAGGAATCGCGGACACCGTGCATAAAAATGATTATACTATTGTTCAGAAATTTATAGCTGCTTCTGCTGCAGCTTCATCTATTATATTCTTAAGTAGTATAGACGTCATGATCTCTGAGCGTTCATGAGTACGAAGAACGGACGGAGGAAAGGAGTTTCTCTTTACCGAGAATATTTTCATCCGGAAACGATTGATCGATCGCGTCTATCGAACACTTGTTGTTCTTCTTGTTCGTCGGAAGGAGAAAAGAAATTTACTCTCGTGACCGACGTCTGTTTTCCGCGAAGCTAAAAGGCAAAATTTCCGTCATTATAAAAATCCCTCGCTATCCGAGGTGGAAACATTGCGGACGGTTCGCGGACGATGCAAATTTGTATGGAACAGGTTTACAGAGCGTGTAATTAGAAAAAAGGATACACGCGAGATACGTAATCTCTCCCGGGACGAGATGTAATTACAGCGGGTTTAAAAACATTGTGGTTCGTTTACTGACAGGCGACCAGAATCTTCAATTATCTGCACTTGCCAAGTGCGTATTGAGCGATCAGAGCCGTAGTTTCGTTTGTCCCATTTCACTGACCCGCCGGTGCGATCATCGACTATGCCGAGTCAATTTGGTCGAATTACATACCAATTTTCAGAGCTAAGACCAAAATAGATGGTAACGTCGTTTTACTTGGAATACCTCCCAGTTAGTTGTATATTTTTACCTTGAAGATTAAATACCGTAGCCATTTTCAAATGGAACGAAACACTAAGCTTTTATATTCCGTATGAACTGAGAAAAGTATAGCTGGGAGACAATGAATTTCGTGAATAGATTTAACTGGCAGATTTACGTTCGTCTCATTAATTCTCGCAGTGAATAAAGGAAAAGAGGAAAACCCCTGATGTGTTTGCACATCTCCCTTTACGGCAGCGATAAATGTGGAATACTGCGAAAGTGAGGGGCGATTTGATTGCGCATCGCGTGATTACTGAAACGATCGCATTGACCCTCGAATAATGCGATTTATCTTGCCAGACGTATTTACAGACTCGCGAGGGGTGCGAATCAGAAATATCTTCCACGATTTATGCACTTTCTGGCGAATAAACGTCCCAGATACCTCGTCAATGATTAACATTCCTTCCCAACGCAAAAATTGATTAACTCTGCTCGGATTTCGTTCGTCACAAGTAATAAAAACAAAACTGTTTAGCAGAAAGATAGATTTAGCAGATTTAGCATCGTCATAATGAATATTGATGATGTGATAATGATAACGAGCAATAGTACTTGGTTCAACACAATGATAAGGAATTATTTTAGAACGTCAGTCTTGTTTGCATACGCAAACAGGATGTGCAAGAACCAATTTAATGCTCGTGTGCTCCGTGTTTGTATAAATTATTCCGTTGTTCTTACTCGGAAAAATTACAAGTTGCAACATACAAGTTATATATAATTTTGTATAATTCTGTCTACGTACCAGACACTTACAAAGTAACGGTTGTAATTACTTTTTGCACACTGTGAGATATTTAGCCAGAAATCCTATGCCCGTACGCGACCTTACCGTTCTAATTACAGAGTTAAGGGATGCATGGAAATTACACGGTCTAAATTATTGACTATAAAAGGAAACTTTAATTATATAACGAAAAAATCGAAAAACTGCGTTTAACGCTTGTACACACTTAGAAGATTTACTCGATTGGGAAATGTTCCTTGGCACATGGCATTAGGCGAAGTGCACTTCATTGAGTCGATGATCGCGTTCATTCTTGAATACTAGTTAGCCGAGGGGAAATGGAAGATCATGCATCAGACTCGGTGCCTAAACAAACCTTTGTGTTTTCACACCGGGAGATTTATGACTACGACGAAACGAGGGGCGATTCCTCTCACTGTCGACGACTTGAATGAAGAATGCACGAGCGAAATTATCGAAACCGTCGGGACGTATTCACTCCCTTTATTCAAGCGAGATACATACCCCGGCAACATGTGGTTCCCGTTAACTCTTGTCTGGACCTATGAGACTCCTCTCGGACCAACCAAGATTTTGCTTATTATAGCTGACCGTCAAAATATTAACTTTGATCTTACGGACTGACGTCCAGCTATTTGCAAAGCATACTCGCAAAATTAGAACCGATGTTTCTTTATTGCCGTGTGTTTAATCTCGGCTCGAGCCTGCTTCAGATTCAGTCTACCATAATACATTTAATTTAAACGTTAAACATTGCATTATCTCTTGGTATGCAAAATATGTTAATAAAAGGATTATATAACATCATATATAACATTGTACTCGAGTTATTCAAGATCTTATAATTTTATCTTATCCGTTATCATCTCGCGATGAGATCTTCGGCTAAGCCTAGGGTTTCACCAAGCTGATGCGCAGCGCGAAAATCTTTTCAATACATTTAAGTTAATGACACGTTCAAGGCTGAGTTCGATCTTCCCGGTATACCGCTTACCAAGTAAATTACAGTAGATGATGTAATTTCATATAATTTTCCTTTCCTGCGCCAGACAGACATTTTTAACGTTCGCAATGAGAGCTCCCTTCTGCTTAGGCAAATTTCTTCTCCTTAAAAAATAAGATTTGTCGATTGGCAAGTTTTAAACACTGAAATACTTAGAGCCTCTATTTTCATATTGGAGTAATTAAAAAAATATATAATTAATCGTATGTACACGCCTATAATAAATCTAGCGTGATTCGAGTAACTCGAACAAGATCAGGGGTAGATCTGTAATTCATGTCGAGCGCAAGTGTAGATGCGAAAGAGGCCTCGCGCCGAGTTGCGAAGTTTAATCACGTAACTTCGCAACGAGCCTTTTCCTCTGCTACACAGGAGTGGACTTCGCGGTTTAAGTATTAAGTACAGAAGTCAAATAGCACGTTTATGTGTATTTATCGGTATGCAGCAAACTATAATTACTGTTATCAATCCACTTGTTACTTCTGCAAGTATGTCCGACGTGTATAGAAGCACGAGGAATTCCATTTTCTTCCTCTCTTGGGAACTTTATTTTCTCTTCTTGCTATTAGCTTTCAATTAATCGCCGCGGTGCAACATATCGCGTTAATGGCGAGATAATTTCGCTTAATAACTGCAGGTAGGCGACATTAACCGAGGTCATTTGACTCGATTAGTAACATATTGGTAGCAATTTATAATGTACAACCTGTTTGCAAAAAAATAGTTCAATGTTCTCAATAGTTTTATAAAAAGACCTGTGTATATTATGAAAAATTAATGACTGATCATTAAATTTACTAAGAAGAGCAAAACTTTAATAAGAAGACATTCTTGCGTTACGTAATTAATCTATGTTTTATTTTATAAAAATTAAATACTGTCCTCATCTCAGAGGTAATTTAAATATAATTTAATATTTCAATTCAGAGAAGCTATGAACTCAATCGAATGTAATTTACTCTGTTTGATGTATCAGTGGTTAAATTTTCCTCAAACATATCAATCACCGAATTACCCACTCCTTCGCGAGACCGCATGAATCAACGTGAATGACGGTACGCATCTTCGAATTAACGTGACGGCGGCCGAAACGAGATGCGACTTAATCGTCCGCCGAGGCGTTTTACCTGTCGCCTTCCGTGACGCGTGCATGCAAACTCATGCACTCGCTCGGATGTACAGTCTGTCTCATAAGAGGATACGTTGATTTATTGAGATTGCGAAAATGACAAACTGCGTACCGCGCGTATGAAAATTATATCTCAGGCGTCAAAGATTTCATTCATTATTCGAAAGCAAGCCGTTGTGAATAAACTT